ACCACTAAACCACTGGCGCTTCTTGTGATTCTGGTGAATTTGACATAGAGGATGCATTTATGAAAGTGGGCTTGGTTAGAAATCATCAAGTATCCAAGCACTCTGTTGAAGTAATATACGCCATGTCTCAAGTCAACGTTATCATCTTTCCAATAAATTGTCCAGACTTATCCGTGTGAGCATCACATTTGCCATGACTGAGCAGGTTGTTGGACGGGCAAGTTTGAAAAGCAAACTTCTTGCACGCACTCCTTTCAGCATGTGACGGGAGGTTATCGTGTCCTTTTAGGTATGGGATTGAACTAGTTGAAGGAGGGGAAGCTTCGGCTCTTTCCAACACCAAGCAAAGTCATGCAGTAGGTACCTCCCCTTGGGAACGCGGCACACTGGTGATGACGAGCCATGATAACTAAGGTAGGGGCGTTATGCTTATTTCAATTCAAAAGTGTGAATGGATGAAACTAGGAACGCATTAAACAAAAGGTAGGGTAGAGATATCTCACTTCAACTCGGCGGACTTTCAAACAATGATGTAAGAACCTCGCAACTGGAAGCACGTGAAATTTGTCAATCGTGGCGCCCACACACACTCAAAAAAGCCCACCTTCAGCTCATGTGGAGGGAGCTATGGAGCCGGCCGTTATCAGCGCTATCAAGGCGCTAGCAGTTCTAGATTAGCGGCTTGGCTAGACCGCTGGCTAAGATGAGGGGGGAGGCGCCGAGCAAGGGTTGGATGTGTTTTTTCCTCGAGGACGGTGCAGTGGAGCAGGGGCATGAGGAGCACACGACAAAAAGTCACAACCACCAAAAACCCTGAAAAGCTGTCATTCCAGGAAGGGTCAGCCTTGGAGAGTTGCTACTCCCCTCACTAGCGACTGCAGATCTTTTAGACATTGGAGACCCAAGGGTTTCCCGCTTTCTTGTTTCAGCCCTCCCCTCCTTCACCCAGCAGTCAGCAGCCGTTCCACTGCCACCCACCACCACCGCGGTCACCACCTCCAAACTGCCAATTTACACCGACGGTTTGGTCGAGAGACAGATATCAGGATTTAACTCCCATTCGATCCCATTGCCTTCACGGGAGCATCTGCTATTTGTGTAGCATCCAACAGTCATACTGCATAATCGAGCACTTCATCGAATCACATCCAGCCAAGATCCCAAACGATCGAACCTTCGAACCGACCGACCACGGACCAACCGATCGACTCGATTGGCCGATACACCAACCATACGTCCGCTTCATGCCTGCTACCTACGCGATACACGCTCCGTGAAAGAAAAAGAAAAAAAAGAAAAGAAAAAGAAGGAGAGGCCATTGCAACCTGTTGCAAGACAAACTCTAGCTGGTAGTCTGCAGAAGGTGTTTCTAGAAAAGACGGAACTCTGTCAACTGCCATTCTTCAACACAACCCCGCGACGTCAAGGCCTTGGCCACACAGTGCTCCGTGTCTTGCCCGTCTATCACTCCTTGCTCGTGTGTCACTCTCGGGTAGACGAACTGGCCTTGATTGCATCATCGACCACATCCAAGGAAGCCTCCCGTCACCGCGACTGTTTCGCCGACCTTCTCGATAGGTTTTCAACCCCGACGCGCCCTCTTGTCTTCGACATTCGATAGTCGGTTTCGGCAGCGGGCGGACAACCATCGCCCGCCGCAACCATGTGGTTCATCAGCGCCTCGACGAGTGCAATCTTTTTGCTGAGCATCGTTCTCCTAATACCCATTGCCTTCGACGTTGGCGGTCGCGATGCCGGTCTAGCTTACTCGCTATCCCTCTTCATCTTCTACCTTATCTACAGCACCAGCAAGCTCCTTACTCCGGAGAGTTCACGAGTCCGCTGGTTCTTCACTAGTAGTGTCGGCTTGTCGCAATGGATCATCATTCCAGCCCTTCTCATCTGGTCTCTGAATAGGTTCTCAGTGGATGCTGAGAACGCCGGCTGGGTATCGCGCACCTTCTCATCTGCCACTGCGAACCACAAGCCCAGCACTTGGGGCGAATACTTCTTTGGCCAGCATGGATTTGTCGAGAATGTCGCTCTGGGAGCTTGGGACAAGACGCTGAGTTACTCGAGCCCTGTTTTCCAACTGCTGGAGGGTTTCTGCACTCTCTTGGTGATACAGACTGCTGGCCGGGTTGCAAGATGGCTCGTCACTCGCGGTGGAGGCGATACATGGATGGTAAGTCTCTCGCTTTGAATCTCTTGGAAACTATGTTGCTGACATCTTTTTAGATATTCCTTCTTGCCTTTTCTGGTTCCATCATCTCCAGTGCCGTTTACTTCCTCTGGAGGGTTGCGCACTTCCCCGAAATAAACACCATCGATGCCACACTCATTGGAGCTACAATGACGTCGGCCGTATTCCTGGGAGCATATGGAATTGGTAGCGGGCGCGGCAACGCCGTAGAGTCATCTCTCCTCTTTGCCTACATCGTTCTATGTGTCTATCAGATCTTTACCGACTATCAGCCGTCTGCCGAAGCTGCTGCTGCGGCCGAGCAAGCGGCCTCGCTTCAGCCCGATTTCCCGCCTCTGCCCCCAATCATCATGGCATCCTATTCGACATTGATGCACATCCTCAGCAGTCTGCCCGAAGCTTTCAACACTTCTTTCCAGTTCCTCTATGCCGCATTCCAAACTATTACACCGAGCGTCATAATCTCGCTGACCTACCGGATTATCGTCTTCTACTGCGCCACCCGCATCATTCCGGCTGTTCGGGAGCTCGGCGCCAGAGCTCTCATGGACGAGCCAAGCTTACTGGAAGAGACCGACGGGGCTAACCGCCTTGTAGGCTTCCTCAGCTGGTTCTCTCCTTCGATCCTCATCGCCGTGTACACGAGCTTATTGCTGCAGCACTTCAGCGTATCCAACAACGGTGATGATATCGGGTGGACTCTCCGGGCTGGTGACGCCGGTGGAAACCCGTGGCGTTGGGTCAACGTCGCTGCCACCATGGGACTCTACGCTGTCGAGCTTTATCTCGGGGAGAGGAACGAAGGAATGCACTGGAGAGCGGACTGAAAAATGCCAAAAGGTGTGCGTCAGTGTTACTTCGTCATCGCAGACGCAATCTAGAAAAGCTTTTGTCAGCTTTAGATATGAAAATCAGTGGCCAAGACAGGTCACCTGGGAACAAGCATCAAGTCAACATCATCTGTTGAGACGTTTGTTTACCCCAAAACCAACGACAATTCAAGGACGAGCGCAGGGTGTGAAGAAGTGACATGAGGAGGAAGATTTGATACCCATTGGTTAAGTGGAAAGGCAGCAAGACAGAGAACAGAAAGCGAATCGCGTTTGTTTGGGAGACGCGAAAAGAAAGGAAACAGACAGACAGGCAGGCAGGCAGGCACGCAGATCAAAGGAAACCTTAGCTTGACCAATTACAGGCACAGGCAAAAACAAAAGCTACCTCGACAGTTGTCCGTCATCTTCGCAGATAGAGGGTAGTAAAGCTATTTGCCTAGCTAGCAATAAGCCCCGTAGCATCTTCTTCACGAATATTTCTTCACGTTCAGTGAACCTGCCTCACCTCCTCTGGTTTTCCTTCGGATGCTAGGATACATTCCATACTATACTGCACAACGCCATATTTTTTATGTGTGCCTTGCACCTCAAAGGTCGGGGAAGAGAAGGAAAACTTGACGAGCTCGTTCAAGGGCGCATAATCTATGAAAAATGGCCGCACTCTGTCTCTTCCTGTAGGCGACAGCAGGCCAGCGAGACAAACAAGCCATTTCCAGTCGGAAGTTCAGCAGGCAAATCAGACCAATACCAACGAGAGGAGCTAGGGTAAAAAAAAAAAGAGAGAAAATCAAGGGAAACGAGAGGGAACAAGTTACCAGAGTCAAAAAGGGATGAAGGAGAAGAAACAATGGATAGGAAACTGGATAGGTATATAGACAACAACCACACCTGGGCTTTTCGCGTGTACCTGTACTTTCTTTTCGAATGGTTCTCACTGCGGAGCCTCGGCATTAGCTGTGGGTGCTTATTGCTAGAGGATTCAAGAACGGAGAGGACGAAAATGAAAAGAGTTTGTAAAGCTTCGAGTTGCGCAAGTTCTAACAATTGCCCGAGCCAACCTGTTCGCCTGTGGTTTGTATGAGTATGAGTAGAAGTCGGGAAGGAAAACAACCCTATATGGACATTTCAATAACCTCGACCGCCAAGCTTGTCGTCCATCCATTCGTAAAACGAATGCTTGCAATTATCACAACTACCAATAGCACAATTATACCGCCCTTTACATATAAGTAAGCTCTCTTCAGCCAAGAGGATTTGGCCTCGCCCTAATCTCCCTAAGCACCTCCCTCGTCCGCGGATTATCCTCAAAGCTAAGATTCACCAAATCCACCACCTCGTCCGCCGAGAAATACAAGCTCAACTCGCTTTCCAACCACAGATACCGCACGTCCTTGAGGTTACTCTGCAGCACTTCCGACAGGTACTTGAGGCGCAACCACGAACTCGCGTACTGCGCCGTCGTGGGGATTTCGTTCTCTGCCTCAAAATTACGACCTTCCGCGGTGGCAAAGCGACTAGGCAGGAATAAATCGTCCAAAGCCGTTACTGAAGCAATGTGATTGGCAATGTTGTAAGCCTCGTCTTGGCCGATGCCGGGCAGATCCATGACGTCGCCAATGATCTTGTTGGCGACAGCGTCGACGAGCGAGCCAACGGCTTGCTGCCAGGCGGAGCGCGAGAGAATGGATTCCCAGGCGATGGCGAGAGAGCGCACTCGGGCAACGGCGGCGGAGACGCAGGATTCCGTGTCGTCTTGCTGGATGAGGTTTTGTTCGCCTGGGGTAATGAGAGCTGGGTGTTAGTAAGAGGTAAAGAAAAGGGGTTTCGCGTAGGAGAGGCTGTTGTTAAAAAAGGGGCACAACTCACCCCCTAGGAGATCCCTGAGCACCGTCTTCTGGATGCTCATCTCGTTGCTGTAGGCACGATTTGCGAAACTCTGCATGGACTTGATGTCGTTATCCAGTCTAAGCAATGTTTGCGCCCGTGTGCTGATATTATCCCTCTTCACCCACTCCTCGGCGAACTCAGCTAGCCGCTCCGATAGGTAGGTAGCATCGTTGTAAAGAAACCTTTGACCGGGTTAGCAACTCGACGTTGTGTATAAAGGACGGTTGTGTACTCACATGTTTCCGCCAACATCTGGAGCGTAGTAGTGGGGGGCGACGGCACGGAACATGGCCAGCGCAAGAGTGGGGAGACTGAAGAGTCCGGCGGCGGCAGCAGCAACGGGGCTGTCGGCATAGTTCTCCTGGGTCAATGCTGCTCCGTCTTCGGCGAGAGCAGATATCAAGTCTAGGACTGGCTGTGGCAGGGATGAGATGCTGTAGGTTTCTTTGAAAGTCAACTCCCGTGTCTGCGGTTTTGACGAAGCTGATGGAGCGGTTGGTGTTTGTTCCGGTGCAGTATCGTCATTCTGGGCGTCATCGCCCCAGCCCCAGGCCTCGGTAGAATCGTCGTCCTCCCCCCCCTCCTGCTTTTGTTTTTTCTGCTGAGGTTCCTCTACCTTATCCGGTTCAGGGTCTTCCTCACCCCAGCCCCAGGCATCGGCCGCATCATCGATAGCGTCCGCGGATAATTCGGTGGCTGATGTTGTCGCAGCCGGTTTACTGATTTGTTGCCCGCCAGTCTGCTGCTCGCCATCGGATTCCCATGCATCCCAGCCACCATCGTCTTCGGTAACTTTGGCTCCATTGGCAGCCAACTGCTGGCCCTCCGACTTTGAAACCACCTGTTTTTCAACCCTTTCGACCTGCTTTGATGCGCCCAGTCCTCGAGACAATTGCGTCCTAATTTGGTCCAGAGCAGCTTCTCTTCGTTTTGATAGCCATACCCGAGGTGCGCTTTCGGTCCACTCCTGTAGTTCATTGAGATGCGATAATCCCAGTCCTTTAAGAGTGGTGCAGAAGCCCTTTGTTGTTGATATTGTCGTTTGAAATCTGTCCATTCCCTCAAGCGAGGAAGGAACGGCCAAGTCGAGCCAAGTTCTGGTCATAGTTGGGATGAGACCTGGTAATAAGACAGTTGAAATAGTCTCGACCAGTTCTGGTGGTAGCTTTTCGACCAGGAAGGCAAAAACCTTTTCTAAGTCTTGGAACACAGCCTCAATAGATTGATCGGACGTTCCCTCCAACTCCAAACTGTTTCCATCAATCTTGATACTGGGTAAACGTTCCTGCTTAGTGTCGAGTCTGGGAGCAAAAATAGCCTTGTCAATGTCATGCCATAGTTGGGTTGCGCGCTGATCGACTTCGTTGTATGCCTTGAGCCCCACAACGGCATCGGATAGGCTCATGGGTTCGTCTACGATGGGTCAGATCTTGTGTGCCACCACCTGTAGAGATTGCGGCTTACCCTGCTTCACGCCACTTATTGACACCCTGTGACTCTCAATATCGACGTGTATTAAAGTATTCCACACATGATCGAATACTTGATAAACGTCCGACTTGAGTTCGAAGGTTCTAATATCGAGGAGTTTGATAGCACGGCATGACTTGTTGACGGGCACAGCGTCGAGCGCTTTCCGTGATCCTGGCCGCAACGTTAGCAACCGACTCAGTCACTTCTTAGACGCATTATAGCTCACGTTCTAGAAGATGTAGAGCATCGAGAATACGGCGTTCATCCCGCGCTTGCTCAACTTGGTCGAGTATTTGGTTAACGGCCTTGATACCCTTCAATGCGTTTCTCAGCTGTGTGTTGTAGTCCAACTCGCGGGCGAGAAAGGCAGCTCTGGTTTCGGCTTCCTCGATGGCCTTCCCTGACGCTTGTGGCGCTTCCGACTGTTTCAGGATATCGTTCGCTAGAGCTTTTGACAGGATGATATCGTCTTGGACCAACTGGGCGTTTACTTTCCATGTTCGGACATCGTCGGCGGTTTCTTCGTTGATGGTGTGTATCTCGGCCTACAAACAAGCGCAAAGCCTCAGCAAAGAGTTAATAGGCGTGGGTCGAAAAGTGATGGTGGTACCTGGAGCTTGGCCTTTGCACTGGCGAGTGCTTCAATGGCTGCTGGGAGCGCATCAGAGTCTACTGTTAAGGAGGATACCGACTCTTCTGGAAATGCGCCCTCGACTGAGAAGTCTACGAGGGCCTGAGCAATCTGCCCAGCCGGCGAGTCTGGCGTCGCAACGGCCATGCTGTCCTGATAGGATGTTGTTTTAAATGTGGATATGTGGCTCGAGGTTGCGACTGTAACTCGAGTGGCAGCGGATCCAAGTCCGGTCAACTGCCTAGACGCTTCTTCGTGGTGTCATACGCGGATTAGGTAGGTACTGTTGCTGAAGTGTCGCAGTTGTCGCGGACTTTGTTGGTTGGTGTTGACAAGCAAGTTGCGGCCAGTTTGGCTGTCGATAAGTTGATGGATGGCATTGATGACACCCACTGACAGCTCCCCCTGTACGTACTGCCAAGACTTGCTTTAGGGGAGATCATGTGGGGCGTGCTTGATACGGCACCAATCGGGACCGGGCTGGCCGTCAAGGGACCTGAAAGCTTGAGGTCCCCGGCCGCTGGGACGGAAGGTGAGAGAGAACTGACGGACAGCTGCCGCTGAGCAGTGGTGCTTGTCCGTAGTTAGCGCCGGATGCCCCTCATTTCCTGCTGTCGTCGAGGTCGTGGCAGATACGGTTCTTGTGGATTTCATTCCTGTCGTGAGCCTCCATCTTGCGGGAGCTAGAGATACTGACTAGGATCGTATCTATAAAAATCCAATCTACGTTCACTCGTCAGTGTGAAACTTTGAGTGGGACGACCGAAGGTGAGTTCAAGATCGATCGATGTTTATGTATTTTCTTTCTCAGAGCTTTCCCCACGGGGTCCTGCCTTTGTGCTCCAGTCTTCCGGCCCCTCTTGTTTCCCGTTCATTGCAAGAGCAACCTGCATCCAGACACCATTCTTGAGGAGGGGCAAACTTTCTCTCGGTGGACTTCCTTTCCTGTCAACAACACGGACCGCAATCTGATAAATTTACCCACGTTTCTGTACCCAAAGGTCCATCAATCAACCCTGCGTCAACTACTCATACGTCGACTCCAGGCTGCTGAGCCGGCTTCATCTAGAGCAAACACGCCTGTCTGGTCTTACTCGACCTGCAGCGTCCTCAAAGCGACCTGGCAAACATCGTCCAGACAGTTGTGCTGGTAAGAGAGTCTCGTACACTTCACCTCGAGATGCACTTCTTCACACCCATATTTTGCCAGCCTTGCTTCCTTTTCATCCACAAAAACCCCTTCAATTGTACCTTCCCTAAGCATCCTGTTTTATTTTATCGCGCGTTCCTCCTGTCCCAGAGGCCCATAAAATGATTCTGTCTTCCAAACGCTCAGTTATGTTCTTCGGGACTCTAGCAAGGGGCAGTGTAGTAGTTCCAGTCGCCAACACGGCCGACTCGCGGGTCAACCATAGTGTCACTTCCTGTGATATTACCATGCCGATTTTCCCTCAAGACTCTTGGTACCTCATCCCTTCAGTTCACATCATGGTCGAGCATGAGGAGAAGGGGGTCTCAGCTACATACGCCCCATCTCAACCCGTGGGCTCCCCGAGATTTTCCCCGGCATTAATCACTGTTACAATTTCTATCTCACTGCCATGGGCTAATCCTCTTCCCAGTAATATTCAAGGTTCTTTGCCCTCAATCAGCAGCAACATGTCGACAGCACCAAGGTTCCGCAAGGTGCAGACCTTCGAAACCGACTATGCCCCGACGACAATTACCCAGTACGTCTCAGAGCGTACTGGTATGCAGGTCATTGTGGCGGATCGCAAGGGTCCCAAAATCAACGGTTACTTTACCCTCGCTACCGAAATCTTTGACGATTCCGGAGCCCCTCACACTCTGGAACATCTGGTCTTCATGGGCTCCAAGAACTACCAATACAAAGGTCTCTTGGACAAGCTAGCTGGACGTGCTTACTCTGGTACAAATGCATGGACTGCTGTTGACCACACAGCGTATACGCTCGAGACCGCCGGTTGGGACGGCTTTGCCCAGATCCTACCCGTCTATCTAGAGCATGTTATACTTCCTACCCTCACCGACGATGCGTGTGTGACGGAAGTTCACCATATCGACGGTGAGGGCAATGATGCGGGTGTGGTATACTCCGAGATGCAGGCCATCCAATACTCGAGCCAGGAGCTTATGGACTTGCGGGCTCGCCGGTTGCTGTACCCCGAAAATGTGGGATTTCGCTACGAAACGGGCGGTATGATGGATGCCCTCAGAGTGCTGACCCCAGACCGCATCCGTGAGTTCCACAAAGCCATGTACCAACCTCAAAACCTGGCTGTCATCATCGTCGGCGAGGCAAACCATGAGAATCTCTTGGAGATTCTGGATAAGTTTGAGGTGAGCATCAAGGACGACATCCCCCCTCCTAATCCTAACTTCAAGCGCCCATTTGTCGACTCTCCTCAACCGCCTCCCCTGAAGGAAACTGTTGTCGAGACTGTTGAGTTTCCTGAGGAAGATGAGTCTACTGGCGAGATTGTTGTGGCCTTCTTCGGTCCCAGCTGCGTTGACCAGTTGCAAGCAACGGCTCTCAACATTCTCTTGACATACCTCTGCGGCTCCTCCGTGTCTGTGATCGAGAACACTATTGTCGAAAAGGAGGAATTGGCCAGCTCAGTTTCCTTCTGGTGGGATACTCGCCCCAACTCCGTTATCTGGTTCCAGCCAACCGGTGTCGCTACCGAGAAGCTCGCCTTTGTCGAGGAGCGCCTTATTTCGCTTCTGAAGGAGGTTGTATCCAAGCCACTCGACATGGAGTACATGAAGGAATGCATCTCGCGCGAGTTGCGTCAGATCAAGTATCATGCTGAAGGTTCGGAACAGTTCTACTCCAGCAATATCATCACCGACTACTTGTTCGGAAAGCGTGACGGCTCTACCCTGAGGGAACTTCAGACCTTGGGCGAGTACGATGTCCTCGCTAGCTGGGAAGAGCAGCAGTGGCGTGACTTCCTCAAGAAGTGGATTTCCGACGCACCTCACGTGTCCATCCTAGGCAAGCCCTCGATGGAACTCGCCAAAAAGCTCAAGAAGACCGAGAAGGAGCGTCTCGCCAAGAGGAGGGAAGAGCTGGGAGAGGAGGGCCTGAAGGCACTGAAAGAAAAGGTTGAGAAGGCCAAGCAAAACAACGAGAAGCCTATCCCTCCCGAGGTGCTTGATCAGTGGCCGGTTCCCGACACATCATCCATCCACTTCATTGAGTCGTTGACAGCAAGAAGCGGCAAGGCCCGCTGCCTCGGAACCACCGATAACTCAACCCAAAAGATCATCGACGCAGCACCCCAAGGTGCTAAGCCTCTATTCATCCAGTTTGAGGACGTGCCTACCAACTTTGTACACCTTACTTTGCACGTCGGAACATCGGCAACGCCCAACCGGCTCAAGCCTCTCCTCCCCCTGTTCGCAGACAATTTCTTCAACTCGCCGGTTATGCGCAATGGCAAACGTATGGAGTTTGAAGACGTCGTCAAGCAACTTGAGAAGGACACCATCAGCTACCACCTGTCCAGTGCCTCGCGTATTGGTGATAACGAAGGTATGGCTCTGCAGTTCCAGGTGGACCTCGACAAGTACACCACTATGATCAGTTGGCTTCGCACACTGATGTTTGACATCGTTTTCGATCCCGTCCGTCTCAAGGCCGCTGTTGTCAAGGCTCTTGCCGATATTCCTGAGGCGAAGAGAGACGGCAGAGTCATGTCTCGCGAAGTCGATCAGTCCATCCATCTACTGCCGGAGTCTTACTCTGTCGCTAAGCGGACGCTCGTCAAGGCGGTATACTACCGTCGCCTAAAGAAACTTCTCGAGAAGGAACCCGAGACCGTCGTCTCCTGGTTCGAGGAACTCCGCCGTAGTCTCTTCACCTTCGAGAACCTCCGAGTCCTTGTCACCGCCCACGTCGAGAAGCTTCCCAACCCAATCGCGGCCTGGGACAGCTTCACCGAGATCCCCGACCTCGACACCTCCAAGGATCTCCTGCCCGTTGTCCGCCCGCACCAGATGCTGAGCGACGAGGGCAAAGCCCCGGGCTCCTTCGGCAGTGTCATCATCCCCATGACCACGCTCGACTCCTCCTTCAGCGTCAGCACCGCCAGCGGCATCAAGTCCTACTCGGATCCGCGCTTGCCCGCCTACCTGGTCGCCCTCTCCTACCTTGAGACCACCGAGGGCCCCCTTTGGAACGCCGTCCGCGGCAATGGTCTCGCCTACGGTGTCCACTTTAGCCGCGAGTCCGACTCGGGCTACATCCAGTTCCACGTGTACCGGTCGCCCGACGCCAGCAAGGCTATCGAGGCCAGCAGGAACATGGTGGCCAAGATTGCTTCCGGGGAGGAGCCGCTGGACAAGCACCTAGTTGAGGGTGCCATCAGCGGCCTGGTGCTGGCTGTTGCAGACGAGCAGGCTACCATGACGGCGGCGGCGCAGCAGAACTTTGTCAGCAACGTCATTCGCGGCCAGGAGCCCGGTTGGAACAAGAAGCTTTTGGCGCGCATTCGTGAGGTGACGGGTGATCAGATTCGCGAGGCTTTGCGGGAGATTGTGTTGCCTGTCTTTGAGCCGGGCAAGAGTAACGTCGTGGTTACTTGTGCTCCCATAATGGAAGAGGTGAGATTGTCCCCCCTTTTTCTTTCCCATTCTTTTCTTGTCATTTTATTATGTCAGTCACTCACAGTTATACTTTTACAGAACATGGTCAAAAATCTTGAGGCCATTGGTTACAAGACTCAAGTTCAGCCTCTTACGCACTTCTACGATGACTACGGCCTAAAGGCCGACGAGGATGAGGAGGAAGAAGAGGAGGAAGAGGAGGATGAAGATGATGACCATCACCACCATCACGGCTGCGGAAGCGAGTGCGAGAGCGAGTGCGGAAGTGAGTGTGACTCGGACGAGGATATGTCGGACTAGGATGTCTTGATCTGTGTCATCTATGGTAGTAGGCTTCCTATTCTTCCCGTAGAGAATCTGAAGTACTAAAACGAAAGAATTGACATTCTTGAATTAACGTGTGTGAGGGTCACCGGCTCAACAAGCGTGAAATATGTGTTGCCACGATGCCCTGGATATGGATTTTCTAGTGGAGACAGTAAGAGCCTTGACAGAGTCTCATGTTTAGGCCCTTCGAATGCCTCCCACTCCTGTCGATCGCAGGTTTTATTTTTCTATTTACCCATCTACTGTATTGTATCTAAGACATATTAATTGGAGGTCATCATTCCGTCGTTATATATAGTGTGTGCCCTCTCTCCTTCTCTCTAGATCGCTCACACAGTTTCTTCCTCACACTAAGTGAAGTGTTGAAAGTATATGCGCCGCTTTCTTGCTCTTGCTCTATATTGTCAATCCCTACCCTTCCCTTCCCTTCCCTTCCCTTCATTCATCATCGTCAAACACCTGATTTGTTATAAATCTCTTCATTTGTGAATGCTTACCAACCAAACAACCACATCTCAGAATACCGCATCACCCCAACATCATCAAGTCTGCCTCCCTCTTCATCAAGCCTCAACACTCCCTGCCGTCCCGGGCCCCTCCCCAGCACCACCACCACCCCCTCCTTCCTGCGCTAACAATCTCTTCCGCCAAGTATTACACACCTCCTCAAACCCGCCCACCACCTCGCCGCAGACATGTGCGCACTCGCGATTCCGCAGCCTCTCGCTCCAGTTACCCCTGCTCAGCCAGCGCTCTCCTTGCTCCCTCAATTCTTCCTCGCGCTTGAGCTCCGCCACCAGTTCGCGCGCACTCTTGAGTCTTCTTGTCGCTGTCGTCGTTGTTTGTCTGGACATGTGCAGCGTATCGGACAAATAGTTGAGCGTGTGGACCAGGTCCGTGGTGATAGTGTGCAGCGAGGCGAGCTGGGCGAAGGCGGCCGTCGACGGCCGCGGCATGCATGACGAGAGGCTGACCAGCATGGGCAGCAGTTCGTCGATCGCTTCGGCGTCCGGCGCGGGCGAGAGTGGGGAGAGGAGCGGGAAGGTGAGACTGTGTAGCTGCCGGGTTTGGTGGGTTAGGTGGGTTGTTAGGGCCGAGTGGGCGGTTATTAATCTATTTGGAGACAAGGGGCGGTTAATACATTAACTACATGTTTAGTAAGGATGGAGTGGGTTGAGAACGAACCTTGTAGCACCGCCTTCCACGCCGGCTTGTGAGCCTAGATCGCGGAGACCCTCGGTCACTCGCTGGAATGCCCCATCGGCCGCTGAGCCATTGTTTTCTGTGCCTCTTCGCGCAAGCGACTCGACCTCGGCCATCTTCTCTACCAGTCTGGGCGATAGTCCGGATGGCTCTAGGTCTGACTCCGAACCGTATTCACTTCCGTCGTACTCACTCCCCTTCCGGCGGTGGTGGTGATGGTGGCCCCTTCCGTTCGGCGAGAGTTGTGATTTTAGACTTGCGCGCTGGCGGCTCCGGGGACTTGCCACGTCGACACCGCTATCCCGTATACCACCCCCGTCCTTTGGCATGGGCGTCGGGAGCAGGTCCTCTTCTTCACCTTTGCCATCCATGTTGGGTGCCTCTTCGCCTTCTTGGCCCTCGAAGTAGTCGTCTTCGCCGTCTGAAAAGGCGTCGGCTAGCTCGTCCGCTAGATTACCCAACCCGCCGCCGTTGTCCATACCTCCGTTTCCAAACATGCCAATGTCCATCGTGGGACCCACCGAGGAGTTAAAGCTGTTTCGTGAGGGCGTTAACGGGTCGTTAAAGGACGACTTGTGTGAAAGGGCGCGGCCCTCTTGCGGGGAGTAGGACGCTGCGGAACGGAGGTTCTCCATGGAGGGGTACGGCGAGTGCCGTGGTGTTTGCGGTGAAGACGGCGGCATCATGGGTGGGCTTGGTGTTTTGTTGGATTGTACGTAAGCAATGTTTCCCTGCTGATTCACTCCCCCTGCGGTAGACGAACAAGGCGAGAAGTGTTCGGAGCGACAAACGGCTCGTGTCTGCTTATAGCGGTGCGCGGCGCAGGTTGCGGTCGGTTGTTCGCGGTCCAATTAACTGGGGATTCCCTTTACAGCGGAGCGAGGCGACAAAGCGTGGTATCGATGCACTGGAAAGTTGGTATGATTAAGATAGATGGCTAAGAGAGATGGGCCGTATGAAACGGGAGTTCGTCAAGCGGTAGGTAGAGGGACAGGCGCAAATCCGTAGGACGAGTTGAGAGATGCAGTTGTTGGGCGGGCGGGCGGGCGGGCGGTCGATCTCGGTCGGTGAGGGGGATCTCAACTGTTTCGGGCTATGCTAGGGACGTTCGCGAGTGCGTCGGATTCCCTTTTGTTGTCTCGAAACAATGAGGACCACAGCACCTTGGCTATAGAGGTGCAAAAAGGCAAGTCTTGCTTTGGCCTTGAAAGTGATGAAGTGTTGGGGTGGATAGAGTGGATGGGGACTTGGAAGGATAGCGCGGGCGGTGATTCGTAGTCGTGGCCAGGGGCATTAAGCAATCTCTATCTAGGAGTACGTAGCTGCGAGTGATGTGACGGTGGTTCCGAGGTGGTGCAGTGTGATGGTCCTGGAATTTCCTCTTGGATGATTTCAGCGGTTTGACCTTCAAGCTCGGACTGTCAGGGGCAAGCGACTACGGACGAGAGTACCGAGAAGGAAACATCCATCTTTGGAACAAGACGGGAAGGCGGAACTTGAAGGGTCCCCTCCCCAGCTGCGGCTTCATGCCAGGGGCAACTGAATCGCTTGCGGGCAGATGGCTTCGCTCAAATCCAGGAGGAGCCTGTGCCACCTCAGGTAAGGTACCGTCTGCCCCGCATTGACAACAAGGCTGTTGTCTGGCACGCGTGGGGCATTCCTGCCCCTGGGGGAGGTCCAAGCAGTTGGGCAGCTATCGACGTCAAAGCAACAGCACACTAACAGCTTGCAGTGTAGTCGCCCACATAGGTCTGTTAAAAGCCAGCACTACACAATCATCTTGGTTTCTTTTGCCCGCGACGGAAATATCTTCCACTCAAAATATCACCACAGCATCGGAACGGAAAGAGTTCCTGAGACACTCACAAAATGGCCAACTTCCGCCAATTCCGCCCAGATGACCTCAACAAATTCTCAAAGTGCAATCTCGACCCCTTTACGGAAACATACGAACTTGGATTTTACTTGCAGTACCATGCAAAGTGGCCATCGCTCTTCCAGGTCGCCGAGGATCAGCATGGCAACATAATTGGATACAGTGAGCATTCACTATTCATCACTCTTTGTCTTACCGTATACTAACACACACAAACAGTCATGGGCAAACTTGAGTCCTCACCAGACTACTACAAGTTCTCAGAGCACTACCTCCCCTGGCACGCTCACATCACCGCAGTCACCGTAGCGCCCGAGGCTCGTCGTCTGGGCATTGGCAAGATGCTTACGGAGCAGCTAGAGGCCGCTGCTGACGCCAACGATGCCTGGTTCGTCGATCTGTTTGTGAGAAGCACCAACCACAAGGCCATCCAGTTCTACAAGAGCATGGGCTACAGCATCTTCCGCACCGTCAAGGACTACTACGGCGACCACTCGAGCGACCCGACCAAGTCGTCGGAGGATGCCTACGATATGCGCAAACCCATGAAGAGAGATGTCAAGAAGGAGCACATTCGGGAAGATGGCGAGAAGTTCGAGGTAGACCCGAGCGATGTGTGGTGAAAAGATTCTCTCACTGGAAAGAAGACATGGTCATTCCACTCATGCTTGCCCGGGTGCTGTTGAGGCTGCGACTCGTCAGGGTGCTACCAACATGATACATCAACAGATGCAGAAACGACAAGTTGGAGCGCCACAGATGCCGATATTAATCCAGCTGCTTCTGACCAAGCATTAGGCATGCGTAGCAACAGGAGAAGAGAGGATTTCGAGAGACACCACGCCTTATAAACGATCAGGCCTTTTTACTTACAGCAGTAGTTCGAGTGGCTCTTCGTTGTGAGAGACTTTCCACACGTTCTAAAGCTGGGTACGTGGTAAGATGATAAAATGACCTTTTCCTCATCATATACTGATCACGGTTTTCTTATGTCAAAAACCCCAAATCACGACCAAGATCACAGTCATCCTGCTATGTCCCCTCCGGACCTTTCAGTCGCTATTTGAGTATTCACAAGTCGACGAGATTTTTTCATGAGCCTTGATAGATTACTAGCGGAAAGCAGAGAGATCACTACCCAAGGTAAGTAGCACTGTAGATCAGACAGAGGTCGTAACGAACCAAGGTTTACGTGCAGATGACAGCAGCGCTTGTGTGTTTGGTGACGCTATGATGAGGCCGTCTCTTTTGGGTTGTAACTACAAAACTCGATGATGATAATTGGACAACACCTGGTCTGTAATTTACCTGTTTCAGAAAAAAATGCACCCAAACCCCTTTGAGCACATCAAAATTTTGTTTGTACCTTCCTTCGTTCGTCTGGCTTGAGGACAACACATAAAGAACAGCGATTAGAAGAAAAGTGCAATAGAAAAAGAGAAATAGATATTCCAAGACCTTTTTTTATATATATATATATTTTTTTATTTAAATTTTTTTTTTTTTTTTTTTTCAAAAAGAAGTTGGACTCACAACTGGCCAGATCGTAAAGCGTGCACCAGAATGGGGACAGGAGGCCAGAAGGGGACCGGAAGGAGAGGGGCCAACAACCATAACCGCTACGCCATCTTACCAACTTGTCACGGGAGGAGTGACGCGGGAAGTGATGCATATACCGTGAGAAAGCCAGGTTACGGGTTATACAGTGTCCTATGGGCGACGGCCCAGTCGAAGAGTTGAGATGGATGACAGGTGGGAGGGAACATGAAAGGTGCCAGCCATGACTTGCATCGAGTATAGAAGAAATAACGGGATTATGGCTAACATATGTACCTTTATATACAATACATCCTCAACCCTTTGCACCCCCCCTCGCTTATAGCTTGCTCGTTCTGCCCCCGTTCAAATACGCCTGTCCCAACTTCAACTGCTCAACCGCCTCCTGCACCATTTCCTCCACAATCTCCCCAGCCGGCTGCACCTTCTTCACCAACCCCGCCACCTGTCCCATCAGATGCGGTGGGTCAATCTCGTTCCCTTGATCCATATCCCACTCGATCGGCACGATGCCCTTCTCCGTCAACTCCGCAATCTTCTCTGGCTGCGCATGCCACTTGGCGATATACTGGTTTGTCTTCATCCTTAAGGGCCTCCCGCTCAGAACCAGTGTTCGCTCGGTATCCTGAAACCCGCACGTTACCACCGCCTCCTTGTGCTGATCGCTGCAGCTGGCCTCCTTGCTCGCCACGAACCTCGTTCCCACCCAGACGCCCGCGGCCCCTTGCATCAAGCTGCTCGCCAGCCCGCGCCCATCCGCGATGCCGCCGGCCGCCACAACCAGCGCCGGCTGATCCGTCGTACCCAATACCTTGTTCAGCATCGTAGGCTCAAACATCCTCGCCACGTCGACCACCGAGGGAATCAACACGCTGTTAGCCACGTCGCCCGTGTGTCCACCCCCTTCCCCTCCCTGGGCGCACACCATGTCGACGCCGAGCTGCAGCGCCTTGACAGCGTGCTTGGGGTGGCCAACCATGTTCATGACCAGGATCCCGTTGGCGTGGAGCTTGTCGATGATGCGCTTGGGCGGCACGCCCACGGCCGACACAAACAGCCTGGCGCCGCTCTCGATGGTGATGTCGATTAGCTCGTCCAGCTTGCCGCCTGTGTAGTCGTGGTTGGTCTTGCGGGCCGAGCCGCCGATCTGCGGCAGGGCCAGGTCGACGCCGAAGGGCAGGTCCGGCCGGCTAAAATTGGCTTTCATCTCGGCGATGATGGAGCGCAGCTGGTCGGGCGTGTACATGAAACCGCCTATGACGCCGAGGCCGCCCGCGTTGGAGACGGCAGCTGCGAGGGGACCGCCAGAAACGCGGGCCATGCCGGCGAGGATGATTGGGTGTTTGATCCCCAGGAGAGTGGTGAGATGGGTTGTGATGGGCCCTGCGGGCGCGGTGGTTGATGGTGTCATGGATGCTAATGAGTTCAAGTACAATGAATGTAAAATGTGATTAGATATTGTATTGGACAAATGTAAGGAGTGGTAGGATGCAGTGGCATGTGTTGTCCGTCCTACAGTAGGTGGAGGGTATCACACAAAGTAGTTCATTCGGGACAGGAGGTAGATAAGGGGAGAAAGCTCAGCGGAAACGAGATGGAGAGAGAACCTGATATCAAATACCGTTGTCAGGTCCAAAGGCTCCTGTATCAGTTACAAAATACATAACTCCGAGCGTCAAGAACTTGGGATGAACAACGAAATCTGGCATGAAGCTCCGCTGACGTCTCCCATACATAACGTCGTATTTTAACCCCCCCTGGAGGAAGGGTGGAGTCCGGGGTAGACTGGGGACTCTGGGGTATGTTGTGGATGCGGGGAACCTTGTCTTTTTTCTTTTTTCTTTTTTTTTTTCCCTATTTTTGATTGAAATTGCGAATGGTTGACATGTTCATTGAACTTCTTTGATCTCCAAGGGCCCGCGTTTGGACGCATCGCCACATGGTCCGACAAAGCTAAGCTCCCATAAATCTATCCGTTTATAATTATTGATACGTGTGCGCACTCTGCCACTTGGACCCTAGAGGCTGTTTTTTCTTTTCTTTCATCTTCTTCCTCGTATTTCAGGTACATACACTAGTGTTCGAGGCTAAAATAGGTCTGACCATGCTACTGTCATGAGCTAAGCTTCTACTCATCGAGACAATCATACAGACCCTCCTAAGTTGAAACTATCATTCGAACCAACCCACTTTATAACCCGGTCCTGATTACTCCAAAAGGACCCAAACTCCGTTCTAAAGACTACCGTCCAACGATGGCCTCTTTCATGTCTCTGGCTCTTGATGTCCGGGCACCTCGTGTCTCTATCAGTTCGTCTTGAACAGAAAACCCCTTCTTCTAATTAAACCACCAATTTAGTCATGGGGGAACCATTAGCCGCATTATCCTTCGTTGTTTTAGGTTCGTAAAAAGTCGTAACTGTAATATCTATCTTGTAGAGCTGTGATACCGTTTGGTCCGTTTTGTAGCCCCCAGGCCCTGTTTGCTGGCTCGCATTATCAGGCCTAGTTATTTCATCCAAAATGAGGCAACCGTGCTGGTATGAATTGGAGCTCTGTGTTGCTTCCCTCGAGTTTGGCTGTCATGCTCTCCTTCGCACCTCCATTGTGGGTCTGCTTGGCTGCAGTAGTGTCATTACTCATGACTTCCGTAAAAGCTGGGAGCTTCGTCTCCCTCATTTCGTCCTCAGAATTCTTCCTTGTTTCATTTTGTGATATGTTTTTATGCAGAGTTGGTTCTTCGGGGGTCGATCCATGGTCTACTTCGGCTTGCTTTGATTCCAGCTCCGGTCCCGATTTCAGCGCTGCCTCTGGCTTGGGAGCCCCCTCCTCTTCTTTGCGCAATCCACGCTGTGTAGCCAAGCGAGACGCAGCCTTTCTCTTTCGTTCAATCTCCTCATACTCTTCCCTCTCAGCCTGTTCTTCCTCTCGCTGTAAATCCTCGAGCGATGGAGTCGGCAGGGCATCCTCTGAACTCGATGTTGGGAAGATCGTGGTGTCATCGATACGGTAGGCCGAGTAGGTCGACGCTATCGTAGTCCTTGACACTGATCTCGCTATCCCTGACTCCCTATCTCCGTTCGCCGGCCGTTTCCCCTTAGTGCTTCTCGTCCTGTTACTGCTCCCGTCATCCACGCGGCCAAGGGCGACCGCAAATTCGTCGTCTAACGGCACCGCATCCTCATCGCCCTCGCCATCACTTGGGAATATGTCGTTTCTCGATCGATACGAGCTCGATGACGTGCCTTCTGACTCGCCAGTGTTACTGCGCGGCCTCAACTGTGGCGATTCCCTTGCATGTTGTTCATGGTTCCGAGCATGCTCACCCTCCTCCGAGCTTGTCCCCAGCAACGGCTCATTTTCATCTCGGTGCCGGCGTCCTCCCTGCTGTTGTTGTCCAGGCAGTAGAGCGCCCGGGTGGTCTCGCAAGTTCGCCGCTGAAGGCTTGTACCTGAGTGTACCGCCAAACTTGAAGGGCAATCGCCCCAAGAACCCCAGCGGTGCCGTCCTCGGAATCACAGTCGGGTCGTCCTCGGGCAACGAAGCCTTCCTCCTGGGTCCTCCTCTCGTCCCATAGCTCATCCCTCTCTTTCGTCTCGGTTGATCCACCACGTCCCCCGTGCCACCGGCCGCATGTCTCCGATCGTTTCCCGTCCCCGCCAGTAAGCGATCCCAGTCCTCGCCGCCCCAGCCGCTGAAAAGTCCTCCTCCTCCTCCGCTACTGGCGGTCCCTTGATCCGCAGCAAAATCATCGTCCCAGTCGTCGTAAAAATCAAACATATACTCGGCCCTCGTACGGTGGGCTCCGCGGTCTCGCTCGCGCGCGCGTCGGGCACGCTCTTCGCGGTCTCCAAGACATAGGCTCGTGCAGCTGTCGATGGAGTCGGCGAGAGATGATAGGCAGGGGGTGATGTATTGGTGCTGAAAGGTCCAGATGCCGGCGGCGGCGTTCTCGGTTACCGCCTCGGCGTTGTGAGAGATCTGATTCCAGCGCTGACGCAGACGGGGATCTTGGATAAACGCCATAGTGCAACGTATATGTGGATGTGAACGCTCGGCTGGGACAGACCGTAGTGATGAACGTCAATTTTCGGTTCCGTGTTAATCTGTTATCGGGCGCCGAAGACGGAAGCTACGTAAGGTCGCAATTGACTGCGCGGTCCGCGGCGCACGCCTAACTTGGGCTGCGGGATGATAAAGAGTCTGTGATATTATAGCGAGGATGTGTTCTAGGTCGATTCATTCGAGGAGGCGGTTCCATGGATTGGAGGAATTGGACCGTCAAATCCAGCTGGAATGTGTACTCGTCCGCATGGGGCCCGGCGACTGGATCTGTGAACTCAACCTGTCGCGTTCGGCACAACCCACTAGCGTAGAAGGCAATAACAACGGTAGGTGCCAAATGATCCGCCTTTTCTCAAATTTCTAGCGACGCCTGTGCTGAGTGGTAAATGATAAGTGAACAAGGAGTTGAACGGTTCAGAATCACAAGCAATCCTAATGTCTCAGGTCTGCCCGTGCTACTTTCATCTTTTGGTGTAGTTGTTCTTATCCCATGTTCGGCTTTTTGGCCCGTTCTGAAATTGGTGTGCGTATGATGCAGCTGAATTTTGATTAGGAACAACCTCGACCGGATACCGAGACGGAGAATTCCGCAGGCAATCGGGGGGAAGTCAAACTGGGAGCCTGGTCCGTCGTCGTCGGCAAAGTGCAATGTCTTGCAGGAATGTCGAGGATCGATAGAAATGAGGGAGAAATGGTTGGTGTACGGAGAAATCCCCCCAAGTCCACCAGCCTCTTGTTGCAAGCATAAAGTCTGACATTGCTGTTTCAGTAGTGGGAATTGCTAGGGCGGCATCAAGGGCTTCAGGCTGTCAACACTGCCAGCTGCAGCCGTGACATGGAAAACAAATGCCCAGGGGAAAGTGGGGGCGCTGTCTACACTACCCGACACTTACGGTAGGTATGCGGGGTTGTTGAAGCCAAGTTGACGGGAATGGTCCGTACATCGACGGACACAGCAAGCACCCGGACGTTCATCGGACTGCGACTGCTCAAGTGTCCATGATATCATCGAGCCTCAATTTCTGGTCCATCAAAGCACCGAGCCTCTCCTGCAACCGCTGAATTTCTTCACTAGACAATACTACACTAATACGGCAATGTCGTTACCTGTTCATGCCAGTCAATACGCCTGGATGAACTGATGGGTTGAGCTAGTCCTCTAAGCATATTGATAGCCGAGTCATAACCTCGGTGTTTCACTGCATACATACCCTTAACCTGAGCCGTTGGCGCGGGACAGAAACTCTCGGAAATGAGCATGCGGATATCCATCTAGCAAAGGTGGTACGCGCCGTTAGCGGTAAGGGCGGCCTTGGTGGGAACAGGGGCAGGAGCCGGAGCAGGAGGGGGCGGCCGCTCAGGCCCGTACGGCTGGGGTTGGTGATGCTGCTGCATCTGCTGCTCGTCCTCGGTTTCATCGTCGTACTCGTCGCCCTCGTCACTCACTTCCTCATCTCCTTCTTCGTCGTACTCGTCTTCGTACTCGCTTTCATCCCCCTCAAGCTCTCCTTCACCTTCCGCATAGCCCGTTTCAACCGCGCCAGCCAGCCCTTGCGGGATCCCCCGGCCTTGCTGCTGCATCTGTTTAATGATGCCATTCAGCTTCTCGCACTTTTTCTTGAGGTCCTCGATCTCGGCCAAGTACTTGTTCCGCTCCTCCGCCATCTTGAGGATGTTGCCATTCACCTGCTCGTGCTTTCTCTTGAGGTTCTCGTTTTCCCTCTCAAGGCGTTTTGTCTTCTTCGACATATCCTCCATTTCCTTGCGGAACGTAAGGAACAAGTCGTTGCTATTGTTCAGCGTGTCCTCAACCTAGCCATGCTGTCAGCCTTCTTCATTGCCACTCCGTCCTGGTACCATTATTGGCTAGTACGGACCTGCTTGAACTTGTCCACGTAGACATTGAGTTGTTGTCTCAGCTCCGTCTCCGTCTTTGAGAAGGTCTGCACCTGGGCGTTTAACTGCCTTGAGCGCGCCAATTCGGCCTCGTAGTTCTTCTTTTCACGCTCAAACCTAGCGAGGTTGTATTGGACTTCGAGTTCCTTGGTCCGCATTTGCGCATGGAAGTGGAGTTCCCTCAGCTCGTACTGTTCGATCAGAGACTTGAACCGCTGGCGAAAACTGGTGACAGTGAGCGAGTGTAACAATAGAACCAGGCAAGGAATGGGGCCGTTACTGACAATTCATCCATTTCCATGTCCACTACTTGCTTGCGCGGATTGTCCTTTTCTTCCTGATAGTCATCCATTCGACGAAGAAGAGCTGAATACCTCTCATCCCATGAGTTCTGACTTCGAACCTGCGTATCCGATAGCGTTTTGTTCTCGTTCTAGGTAGACAAGCATTGTCAGTAACCTTGAATGTTACTTGAACACACACGTGATCCCATACCTTGAGCTTGTTATTCTCTTTTTGCAGTTCGCGGCAGAGTTTCTCGAGCTTCTCTTTAAGCGACGTTGTCTTGTTGAGTTCATTGCGGCTATTGTCCTTGTCCTTCTGTAGCTGATCGCCTCGTTTCTTGTTCTTGATGCTTTCACGTTCGAGCCTCTTCATCTCCGCCAGCAAGTCCGCACAGCGTTTGGTCAGATGATCAATCTTTTGGAGGTCGTTCATCCGCGAGGTCTGGCTATGTAGCTCCCTACTAGCTTTCTTGACCTCTCGTTCTGCGCACGGCTTGCTGTCAGCGCCTTCTCTTTCATCCGAAGCCAAGATCGCCCGTTTTGACAAAACCCCTCTGTCTTGATTCAACCCGTCTACATCCCAATGGAGACTGGAGGGTGGTCTGAAGACATGCGGCAAAGGTTGACTGAGGAGGTTCGGTCAACGACTGTCGAGTGTTTCTGAGCCTTCCGTCCCCCCCTTTTCGATCCCATAACATCCGCCATTGCCCTCTCAAGCGCCCAGCAGGTTGTAAGGACAAACACGCACCTATTTCGGCCTCCTGGTCCTTTTCACCAGCGGCATCTTGCTCCAGTTGTGTGATTCTAGCAGCAATGAGCTTACTAGCCTCGTTCGGCTCGGGGGCCTTTTTCGGTTTGCCCTTTTTGCCCGCCATGTTTGCGGGGGGCGCAGGAGCCGGCCGGGTCTCGTGAGCGTGGTTCGGGTGGCCATTCGTGGCAGGAGGGGGGTCGACCGGATGGTTTGCCGATCCATTGCTCATGGGTGTCGCAGGTCGAGGGCCGGAAGTTGCAGTGGCTGGAGGATTGGCGCTTGACATTGTCGAGGGACTGGTCTTGATGCCGGAAACAGGCGTGTGGTCGGCAGTGGCCCCTCCGACTGGCAATGTCAACGAGATATCAGTTGCAAAAGGCTTGCGTGTGCACTGCAGTGGTGCGTTACTGCTAGCCTTGCCGCTTAGCCGTCGTCGTCAGAGTGTGGTGGTGTTGAGCGCGAACAATAGAAAAACTGTATGCGCTGTGGTGTGGAAGCTGTGTAATCGAGTCGTTGTGTATTCGGGCGGCCGTGACGGCAGCAGTCGTCAAGATAATGGCTGCGGAAGACTTTGATGTATGGGAAAGGACGACCAGATCGCTATGGCGTCGGTTAATCTGATGGGGCGCGCGAATTGGATGACAGGTCCTTCCGCTGCGTTTCAACAGGCGGCAGGTACCTGCTCTCGGCCTTCGGGGCCCCAGCACGGACTATAATCTGAATAGAAACAGGTACATAGGTAGGTAGGTATCCAGTGCTCCCGCTGTCCCTTCATGGCTGCTACTTTCCACAATTCTTCTTGGCCACTACTTCCTGCATGGATATTAGGTCGATACCAGTGTTCTTATTACACTGTTAGAGGCAGGTTCTCTCTGGTCGTCATCCACGGCACTTGGTCCTGATGTTTTGTGGAGAATTTCATGATCCAAGTCCTCGAGGAACCAAACGGCGTTTTCATCATGATTTCATCCGTGGCCCGCCGTGCATCGACCTCGCATGAACAATATGCTTTGGATACCTAGTGTACTAACATGCTGCTCACATACTTCATCTCACATTTCGTCAGATGCCGATTTGCCGCTCTCACTGTTGACATCCAAAGTTCAACATTCAGACACATGACTTATTTGCTTTTCGGAACACATGGGGCCACACTATATTGTTGCAAAGAGTTCATATAATCAGTTAAGTAAATACAAGTCAGTAAGTCCCAAGAGCTTATAGTCCAGGCCTACCTCTCCCGTCTAGAGGCAACTTCCTCTGCCTGTACGTGTGAAAATGTCCCTCGAGGTTACAAACAGATAGAACAGTACTTATCGCAGTGCCTTTGGTGTGCGAAGGAAGCGCTGACAAATCATGCTCTGAGGTACCTCATTAACAACTTTGCTCTTTCGAGGCACGGCTACTCATTGGATGGTTCAAGACCACTAGAGAGCTAGCCTCCTCGTGCGGTGCAGCCTCCAGCGCCCGTCGTCGCCTCGGCCCCACTATTCCCGACTCTGCCGAAGCACGGTTCAGTTGCAGGTTTTCCACCAGGCTTCCTTTTCCACTTGATTCCTTCGGAGGAGGGCAGGAGGGGTGGGTGTGGGCTGAGGGGCGACAGACAGGGGCAGCGGGGGAGTCAGTCACCACCTGAGGTACCCACTGCCGCTGTGGCAGGCAGGCCTAGCTCCGCGTCAGCTCCCGTTCCAACTGCCGCCAAAACCGGACGCCTCAAGTAGTACCGTCACCACCACCATCACCATCACCATTTCCAGTCGCCTCGCATAGTGCCAAGGATTTCTGCCAGCACTCGGGTTTTCTCTACTGCTGCCAGAACGATGCTGCGCAACGCGACCAAAGGTGCAGCGCGCCGCGCCGTCACCGAGCTCTCCCAGTACCCGAAACCCGGCGAGAAACTCCACGGCTTCACCCTTCTCCGGTCAAAGCATGTCCCGGAGCTGGAGTTGACTGCTTTGCACTTGCAACACGACAAGACCGGAGCAGAGCATTTGCACATTGCCCGCGACGACAGCAACAATGTCTTCTCTATCGGCTTCAAAACGAACCCCCCGGACGACACCGGTGTCCCACATATCCTGGAGCACACCACTCTGTGTGGCAGCCAAAAGTATGCGAACTCGAACAGCGGATCATCGGCTGGGCTATTCACGCTGACATGAGATCTCCTTCAGATATCCTATCCGAGACCCTTTCTTCAAGATGCTTCCGCGAACGCTTTCGAATTTCATGAACGCCTTTACAGCATCGGATCACACCTTTTACCCGTTTGCCACCACCAATGCCCAGGACTTCAAGAACCTCATGTCTGTCTACCTTGACGCGACTCTGCATCCTCTCCTGAAGGAGACGGACTTTACGCAAGAAGGATGGCGCATTGGGCCCGAGAATCCCCAGGCTCTTGTTGCGGCTGAGGGCAACGCAAAGCCCGAGGACAGGAAGCTTGTCTTCAAGGGTGTCGTTTATAACGAGATGAAGGGGCAGATGTCAGATGCTGCCTACCTCTTCTGGATTCGGTTTCAAGACCATATTTTCCCAGACATCAACAACTCTGGTGGTGATCCCCAGAAGATCACAGACTTGACATACCAACAGCTTAAGAAGTTCCATGCTGATCACTACCACCCGAGCAATGCCAAGGTCTTTACTTATGGCGATATGCCACTGGCGGATCACTTGAAGGAAATCGGTGCCCAGCTTGACGTATTTGAGAAGATCCGGGCTGATGTGGCAAACCATAGCCCTATCGACCTCAGCAGTGGCCCCAGGGAAGTCAAGCTCTATGGACCTATTGACCCCCTTGTGGACGCCAATAAGCAGTTCAAGACTTCCGTTTCGTGGGTTCTGGGTGAAACCAGCAATGTCGTCGAGTCCTTTTCGCTGGCGCTGATTTCTGCTTTGCTCATGGATGGTTATGGCTCGCCTCTCTACAAGGGATTGATTGAATCCGGGCTAGGAACGGACTGGAGCCCCAACACCGGATATGACAGTTCGGGCAAGCTCGGTATCTTCTCCATTGGCCTCAGCGGTGTTCAAGAAGAAGATGTGCCCAAGGTCAAGGCCAAGGTACAAGAGATTCTTCGCAGCATGCGGGACAAGGGCTTTGAGAGATCAAAGATTGATGGCTATCTCCACCAGCTTGAACTTGGCCTCAAGCATAAGACTGCCAACTTTGGCATGTCTTTACTCCACCGTTTGAAGCCGAAGTGGTTTGTTGGAGTCGATCCATTTGACTCTCTTGCCTGGAACGACACGATTGCTGCTTTTGAGACCGAGCTTGCCAAAGGTGGTTATCTTGAGGGCTTGATTGATAAGTATCTGATTAACGACAATACTCTCTCCTTCACGATGGCGCCTTCGCCAACCTTTAGCCAGGAGCTGGCCCAAGAGGAGGAAACTCGCTTAAGCACCAAGATTTCGGAAGTCATCAAAGCTGCTGGTAGCGAAGAGGAAGCTCGTGCTGCTCTCGAAGCTCGGGAACTCAAGTTGTTGGCCGAGCAAAGCAAGACTAACACCGAAGATCTTAGCTGCCTTCCTAGCGTGCATGTCAAGGACATTCCGCGCCAGAAGGACTCGGTTATCTTGAGACACGATAACACAGCAAGAGTCAATACACAGTGGCACGAGGCTCCCACGAACGGGCTGACCTACTTCCGTGCTATCAACCAGCTGGAGAACCTGCCCGATGAGCTCCGAAGCCTGATCCCCCTCTTCACTGACTCCATCATGCGTTTGGGTACGAAGGACATGACAATGGAGCAGCTTGAGGATTTGATCAAGCTCAAAACTGGAGGTGTCTCGGTCGGCTACCATTCGGCTTCTCATCCAACTGACTTTACTCGGGCCACAGAAGGCCTGATGTTCTCGGGCATGGCATTGGATCGTCATGTCCCAACGATGTTTGACCTCTTGCGCAAGCTGGTCGTAGAGACCGACTTCGACAGTCCTCAAGCAGCTCAACAGATCCGTCAGCTGTTGCAAGCATCTGCTGATGGCGTCGTGAACGACATTGCTTCATCGGGACACGCTTACGCTCGGAGAGCCGCGGAATCTGGCCTTACGTGGGATTCCTTTCTCAAGGAGCAGGTTAGCGGTCTCTCGCAGGTAAAGCTGGTGACTAGCTTGGCAAGCCGGCCCGAGTCAGACCCGTTGGAGGATGTTATTGCAAAGCTTAAGCAAATCCAACAGTTCGCACTGGCTGGCAATCTCCGTACCGCCATCACCTGCGACAGCGGAAGTGTCTCTGACAACGCAAAGGCGCTCTCAAATTTTGTCAACTCGCTGCCTTCGGAAGCGGTGACTTTCCCAAGCCGGGGACCCCCCAACTTTACCCGTGATATCAAGACGTTCTATCCCTTGCCTTATCAGGTTTACTATGGTGCTTTAGCCCTTCCTACGGCTTCTTACACGGCTTCCGCGAATGCCCCTCTCCAGATTCTCTCGCAGCTCTTGACCCACAAGCACTTGCATCACGAGATTCGTGAGAAGGGTGGCGCCTACGGCGGCGGATCTTACGCCCGCCCCCTCGACGGTATCTTCGGCTTCTACTCGTACCGCGACCCTAATCCTGTGAACACGCTCAAAATCATGCGGAACGCTGGCCAGTGGGCGGTTGACAAGGAGTGGACTGATCGTGATCTTGAGGATGCCAAGATCTCTGTCTTCCAAGGCGTTGACGCACCCAAGGCTGTCAATGAAGAAGGCATGGCCCAGTTCCTCTACGGTATCACCGACGAGATGAAACAGAAGCGCCGCGAAGAGCTCTTGGATGTTACCAAGGATCAGGTCCGGGAAGTGGCGCAGGAGTATGTTGTCAAGGCCCTTAACAACGGCTCTGAGCGTGTCGTCTTCCTTGGCGAGAAGCGCGACTGGGTCGACAAGTCTTGGGCGGTCAAAGAGATGGACATCAACGGTTCCGCTTAGACCACTCCATCAACGGCGAAACACGACCAGATGTTGATGAGATTGGCGGTTTTGTATCTGTAAAGTGACATGGTTGAATGATACCCTCCTCCTATATAAAAGGCACAACAAAGCCAGTGCGGACCCAGTGAGTGTCCGAGAAACTGCACCGACACTCGGCTACAATCAGCGCTCCAGTTCTTTGGCTGTATACTGATAAAGCTTTCAGGGTTTTGTTACATGTTTTTGTTCCTTCCCCTTTCTCATCAATAAGCGCCAGCTACGATACGCTTCAACGCCCGTTCAGTGGCGTTGATGCCACAAAACGGCGCGAGATCAAATGTGACAGGGAATCGGCGTTCTGCGCCTTGAGGCCCGGCCGAGAGCTCGTTCTATCAGAACCGTCTTCCTCAGCTTTGGACGTGCGGACTAAAGAACAGAGTACATGCTTCTGCTTTACCTACTGACCCGAGTGTTGAATGCTACGATATCCCCTCGTTTCCCTGCTTACGTCATTACTACCTCTCGGGCGAGATAGCCGAAGCATTTGGACCGTGACAGGCTGCCTCTGAAGTGTGGCGGCCCTACAGTACCACGAGACTACACAGCAGGCTGCGTCGTGTTGCTTCTGGCCTGAGTCACGCAATCGGCCATCCTCATTGGCAAGCAGCCTCGCCAGGGGCGGCATCGTAGCAGACCAATAGTATTGTCGGTCCGTCTTAAAGATGATCGTCGTCGATGTGAGCCTAGGGGTACGGCCAACTACATCAATGATCAAAGCCACAGCCTGCTTCCGTGCGTGCCAGACATATATCTTCTCTACATGACATGGCAGACAACGAACGGCTCATGCCCTAATAGAGGCGGAAGTAGACGTCGAATATGACAACAAAAACTAGCAGATGAAGAGATTCTCGAAGTCAAGCTTGCTTCAAGCCGCAATGCGTGCCCTCGAGGAAACGGCTTCCAGTCACTGGCAGTCATTTTTACTCGGAATACAGAACAACCCTCTTACGCACAAGTGCTATGTATAAGGAAGTTAATCCTCGTGTGCATGGTGACAGCCGCGGGGATGGTTATTGGCAAGGAGGCAAGATACCAACGGATACGAATTGGGTTGTTTGCGGATGTAATAGAGGCCTATGGTAATTGCGCGATTTGACTGGTCTTTTGTCGTCTACGTCGTGCGACAATGTGCTGAGTGCAGTTTGTGTGTCACACAGTGATACATACAAGGTATTGAAACTACACTAGGTAGAATGTCGCCCTATTCCAACGGCGCTGCTCAGAATCAAATCGCGCTAGGTGAGGGGGTCATGATCCTCGCCCATGTCACTTCCTTTTCGTCTCCATTCTCGAAACCCAACGTAAAAACCCGATCTGCTCACGCGGATTGCAAGGCGGCCCGGCTCTGAATCTAGAAGCTCGCCCGGAGAGGGATGTTGGGCTCACTCTACGTTTTGGCGGTGCACGGAGTTGCGGTCTGAAAGTCCCTCGTCTCAAAGCCTCTCTAGGATTGCCCGAGATTGCTCATGCTATCAAGCAGCGATATGCGCGCAAACATGGGACGAAAGGACGTCCCGACAGTCGCTGTCGTCGTCACATTTAACAAATCCAAGTGTAGACCTCGGCTATATTTAGCGAGGTGGTGGCAGTTGAAATCAGCTACGGAGAGAAAGCAACGATCAATGCGGCCGATATTTCTCAATGCCCAATGTCTGTCCCGCAAAAGCATGATTTCACTACACTACAGAGAGAGGAGCGTTGGTTGCGGGCAGCAAAAGGTGGGACCCCTGCGATGTTCTCTGGCTTCTCTCCTTCCTTCTCGGCTAGCTGGGTTCCGCCAGGGTAGCACCAAGGGCCATATGTGGTTAGGCTAGTTCTGCAGCGTCGATTGCATTTTTTTTCCTGATTTCTCGTTGGAGAGAAAAAAATTACGGAATGGAAAACGATCGAGATGACGGCCGGGGCTGGACGACGGAGGCTCCGTAGCCCGACCAGGGCGATGTCCCTCTTTTTTGTGGGCGGAAATCGAAGAGAAAAAAAAAGTTTTTGCCAGCAGCACAGCCTCTGGCCTGCTGGCCTCGCTTCCAGTGCCAAAGAGCCCGTGCCCGGCTGTGAATTCCTGCCCTCACCACCGCAGGCTTTGTGAGATTCCATTATTTGTCTCCCCACCAGCTGCACATTCAGGTTGGCATTGTCAAGCCTGGACCCCTCCACCACTTGACCAAACCTAACAAGCGCGGTCGGCATCTCGTAATCAGCCCCAGCACCAGAAGAAATCGTCGACCTCCCGCCCCGGCCCGCCGAGTCCAAGCACCCCCCCGGCTCTCCTCCACCCCCCTGACGCCTGATTCTTTTAACCTCCCCTCCTCCACGCAACATTTTTGTCACTTTTCCTCTCTTTCCTTCTCTTCTCTCCTCTTCCCTTTTTCCTCGTCTGCAACTGTTACAACTACACACGTAGCCCCTTCCATTTCAAACACTCTACACAATCTACAGCTTGCTTTCTTGCGCGATAAACGGGTAAGTCAATGACGGTGACGGCGGTGTGCTTCCAATTCCATCCCATGATTCTTGAATGCTCTACCCTCTGATTTCCAGCACACCCGACCCAGATCACATGTGTTTCAAAGATATGGGATGAAAGCTCTCTCGGCTTTCTCTGGGTCTGCGCTCCGTAGAGTGGGGAGCTCTTCCATGTGGCAAACCCGCCACGGACTGCGCAAAAAGGCTGGCTTCAGTTAGCCGACCACCCGAGTCGAAGTCTGCATCCCAGCAGACGACCTACTTCCAGTTTCATCATAGTTGTGGAGGTTTCATCACAGCTCCCAACGCCAAGTCCAACCTACCTCATACACAGATTTCTCTCCCTTCTCGCACCGCTCCCTCTCTGCCTCCTCACGACTTGGTCACGGTCAAGTTGCTAACATTGCGCCCATCATCAGGACAGACACGTCGTCGTCATCGCCGTAGCACCCACCTCCCTTGACTGCCTTTGGTCTTCTCAAAGGCAACCGTATATAACACGGCTTCCTCGGCCGTAAAGCTCGTCTCGGACCAAGATTTCAGCCTCAGAAAGACCTTCCACATCATCAACGTCGTACCTCCCCCATCCGCTCCTGAGGGTCTCTAAGAAGCTCGACGCTCTCTTTTTCGATCCCTCTCCCAACCAAGGACCTGAATACAGTCCCAACCGTCAGCTGCCGCATAGGACGAGTTCTGCGGTTCTTCCTCTAACGGAGGAAGAGTCGAGGAGGCCTCGTCAGATCGCTCAGGGATCAGTCTCGTACCGACACCGACCCCCCTAAGACCCGTTCTCAAGAGCATTAGTTGCTTCTTGCTGGCACATCAACTACACAACAAATCCAAAACCAACAACAACCAACATACGCAAACTCCTCCTTACACCGGGAGTCTCCGAAACCTCGCGAACCTCACTACCAGCACTCGATCTTATCACCCCAGTCAAATCTTGGGATATGGTTATGCCGACTGTTGTCTCCGACCGCATGGGCACTATCGATTTCATCGATTATACAAACAATCATGTCTTTTCAAAGTGTCAAACCGACAGCTTGAACACCGTCAATAATGGCTCCTTGAAGCACGATGATTACCCCCACGGCCTTGCCAACGGCAAGTTGGTCGCCAAACAAATGATTGGTGATGCCCTCCGCCAGCGTGTGGAGAGCATTGACTCCGAGTTCTGCGAGCCCGGCGATGAGGACACATTCTTTGTCGCTGACCTCGGCGAGGTCTACCGCCAGCACCTCCGCTGGAAGCTGAACCTTCCTCGCGTCAAGCCGTTCTATGGTGAGTTATCCCAATCACTATGCGCTTCGTATCGAGGATTAAGTTTGCTGACTTGGATGTTTGTCATCAGCCGTCAAGTGCCATCCCGACGACAGGCTCTTGCAGCTCCTGGCCGCTCTCGGCACCGGCTTCGACTGTGCCTCCAAGGCCGAGATCGAGCAAGTCCTCCGCATGGGCGTCGACCCCTCCCGCATTATCTATGCACAGCCGTGCAAGACCAATTCTTACTTGCGCTATGTCGCCCAGCAGGGCGTGCGCCAGATGACCTTCGATAATGCCGACGAGCTGCGCAAGATTGCGCGCCTGTATCCCGACGCCGAGCTTTTCCTCCGCATCCTTACCGACGATTCTTCGTCCCTTTGCCGTTTCAGCATGAAGTTCGGCGCTTCCCTCGACTCAACTGATGGTCTCTTAGGCCTTGCCCGCCAGCTGGGCCTCAACGTGGTTGGCGTCAGCTTCCACGTTGGCTCGGGCGCCTCCGATCCTACTGCTTTCTTGAAGGCTGTTCAGGACGCTCATGTCGTCTTCCAGCAGGCCGCTGCTTATGGCTACAACCTGAAGACCCTCGACGTTGGTGGAGGTTTCTGCAGCGACGATACTTTCGAACAGATGGCTAACGTCTTGCGTGCTGCGCTCGATGAGTACTTCCCGGCCCACACCGGTGTCAACCTTATCGCTGAGCCCGGTCGCTACTATGCTTCCTCGGCATTCACCCTTGCCTGCAACATCATTGCTCGCCGCACTATCCAGGACGGCTCTGCTGTCTCGGTCTCTGATTCCTCTTCTATGAGCGACGATGGATCGGTGAACAACGGCGATGCTAGATATATGGTCTACGTCAACGATGGTCTGTACGGAAACTTCAGCAGCATCATGTTCGATCACCAGCACCCTGTGGCCAAGATCCTCCGTGCTGGCGGCCGTACCATGTACAACTCTGTTGCTGCCCACGAGTCTTCTGCGGAGGACGCCATTGAGTACAGCATCTGGGGTCCCACTTGCGACGGCATTGATCGCATCACCGAGAGCATTCGCTTCCGCGAGATTCTCGATGTTGGCGACTGGCTGTACTTCGAGGACATGGGTGCCTACACCAAGTGTTCGGCCACCACCTTCAACGGCTTCTCTAACGAGCATGATGTCATCTACGTCTGCAGCGAGCCTGGTGCTATGGCCCTCTTGGGATTGTAAGGTGTGCCGCTTTGTATCTAGGAGAGATGAGACCAGTATGGGGTTTCTTGGACAGGGGGAGATGTGTGCTGTCATTTCATGATGCGTAGGAGGAAGGTGATACAAAACAACAATGGGTTTCTTTCGTTGGCTCGTTTGGGTCCCCTCATTATAGAATTTGCTTCGCATTTTAGACTTTCAAATAAAAAGGGGGTCTAGGAAACGATGGAGCGCGGTGTTGGATCAACCTCAGGGTCATAAAACAAAACATGGTTAGAAATATTGGATGCAAAACAGCAGTTGAGTCTAGACACTAGACGAATAAGATTGCGTTGGCCCCCATGAGATATTCGATTTTGAAGTGTCAGAGCGATGAATGTTGATATAGGGTGGGTGGTGAGGACGGTGAAGGATGTGTAATGCAAAAGTGGTTGTGCTTTATTATTTAGGTTACGATGAAGTTGTCACACACGCTCACAAAGTAGGAAAGAATACGTAGTATGCGCGTACAACCAACCAAACTGTACGTCTAGCAGTACGTATAAGTCACGGCTTCCCCTATTCGTCCCAACACCAATATTGTTGCGGTTTTGGCAGCATCCCATCCCTCCTTCCCGTTCATTTCTTATCTCCCCGCATTTCAATCTTCCTTCCCACCCAAGGCTCAGCTCTCCCCGACCCCCATCGGTGATTCGCTGCACTTGACATGTGCTATCACTGAGCTGCGTATTATCGTCGCTGGGATGTTGGATGGAACATGGAGGATGGATGATTCCCCTCGGCAAGCACGTTGTAGTGTAGGGGAGAGTCGCGGTATTGCACGTGTGTCACGGTACCACCCAGCATGCGTCCGGTCTTTTCACCCGTCCTCAAACATCAAGCTTAGCAGAACCAAGAGGAGGAAGGGACTTGTGAAGGCGGAACATCCGATTGCTCCAAGTTATCGTACTAGCCGGCCCTGCCGCCTTCCGTGTAACAACATGAACCCGTCTTGGGAGGTCGAGGCACCTTGATGAGCCATCCGACTTGGAGGTGGTGTCGCAAGTACTTGATTCCCAACTCTCCCAACTCTCCCAACTTCTCCTCAACCGCTCGAAACCTGATCAATTTTTGTTTTCTTCCTTTTGTCCTCCTGTGTCCTCCTGTCTTCCTTTTTGTCCCCTTCTCTATATACCTAATTACGACCTCACTGTTTGTAACAACGGTCCTTTCCCATCCATGACCGCACTGCTTCAAGACGCCAATCTTGGAAAAAGGGGAGAAGTCCGGGAAGGGGACTGAGCGACAAGTAGGGACATCAACGGCAACGAAGCTGGCACTAGTCAGTGCCATCCCGTCGTGTTTTGTACGAATCGTTGAAGTGCACACACGTATACCGAGAGACAGAACGACAGTAAGACAGCAATCATGATTCGCAACGTCGTCGTCCTGAGCGGTAACTCGCACCCAAAATTCGTCGACAGCGTCTGCAATTACCTGGGCATACCGCCGGCAAGCCGCGTGCTGGAAAAGTTCTCGTCGGGAGAGACACGTTGCGAGATTAGGGACTCGATACGTGGGAAGGACGTATACATCATCCAGTCGTTTGGGGTGGGAACCAACAGAAACGCGACCAACAATAACAACAACAACAACACCGATGGATCTTCGACTTCAGCTACAGCGGAAACAGGCCATGTCACTGTCAACGACTACTTCATCGAACTCTGCATCATGATATCGGCCTGTAAGACGGGATCTGCCCGCAGGGTCACGGCCGTCCTGCCGTTCTTCCCTTACTCCCGCCAGCCAGACCTGCCGTATACCAGCACCGGGGCGCCATTGGTGTCTAGAAATCACGATGCAGTGACAATGACAGTTACGGAAGGCCAAGGGAGTGTCTCGTATACGTTTGAGAGCGTCCCGCCTACCCCGGCCGCACACATCCCACGAACTGCCGGTCTGGCTAACGGCATGTCTAAGCTCGCTAATGGCCTGTCCAGCAGCAGCAGCATCACCCGTGGCAGCGACATCCGCGACATGGCTAAGGTGATGGTGACGGGACCGGCAAGCGACGCTGGTAGTAAGTCGTTGGGGGAGAAGCAGCCCCAACAGCAAAAGGCAAACGACAAGTTCACCACGCACGACTTCGAGAACCCGGCCATGGCAATGGCGTTCCAACAAAAGGTCGGGTTTAAGCCGATGATGGCGCAGGCGGGATCGTTGATTGCGGATTTGCTGACGTGTGCGGGAGCGGATCGGATTGTTACGTGCGACTTGCATGAGAGCACGTATCAGGGGTTCTTCGATATTCCCGGTGAGTTTGATGTCCCAGCACGACTGCGTTTCCCTTTCCGAAGTACACACCCATCTGACTGGGAGTCATCACAGTCGATAACCTCATCGCCAGACCCCTCCTCAAGCGATACATCCAGCACCACATCGAGAACTACAAGGAAGCCGTCATAGTCAGCCCGGACGCTGGCGGGGCTAAACGCGCCGCTGCCATTGCCGACAGTCTAGGTTTACAATTTGCTCTTATCCATAAAGGTCAGTTCATTCGTGGGGAGGAGGCGCGAACTCACGTCTTAATATCCGTAACCGCTGTACTGAATTACATCCAGACTCGTCCCTTCAAGACGCATGAAAAGAAACTGACACTTGTCTTCCTCATCCTCATAGAACGACGCCGACCCTCCAAAACCCACCCAAACTACCCATCCATGATGCTTGTTGGCAACGTTACCAACCGCATCTGCATCTTGGTAGACGACCTCGCCGACACGGCCAACACCATCACACGCGCGGCCAAGCTGCTCAAGCGCGAAGGGGCCGTCCAAGTGGTTGCGCTTATCACGCACGGCGTGTTTAGCGGCGACGCGATACAAAGGATTAATGCGTCGGCGCTGGATCGGGTGGTGGTGACGAACACGGTGGCGCAGGATCGACATCTTGAAGCTTTTGGGGCAGCTAGAGCCCGGGGGACGAAGGAGCTGCCGGACAAGAATAAGAATGATGTGGACCCGAGGGTGGTTTGTGGGAAGTTGGAGGTGTTGGATATTGCACCTTTTTTTGCAGAGGCGATTAGAAGGATTGTGTTTGGGGAGAGCATCAGTATGCTGGTCCGGGATGGGGATTAAGGGGTGGGAGGAGATGGAAAGTAGGAAGATGTAATTGACCTGGGAGGGTGAGGTTACAACTTGTACAGTATAGATGGCCAGATGGCGTTTTCTGTCTGCGGCTGCTTCTTTTACTCACAATCTGTATTTCCATGACGAAGTTTACCTTCTACCAACGAGATCGCAAACACGCATCCTGCACTCGATTTGAAGCGACTCTGAGGTGGAAGTTGACCGGTATGTATCGTGTGTACTTGGGCCCAAAGTCCCTGCCGTGGGGCAAGAATCAGCACGTTCGATCCATGTTGCCCTTGTCTGAAGCCACTTGACAACCCTGGGGTATTTTATCGTCTCATGTGAAGACGAACGCAAGCTAGAATCCATGCTGACAGGGGAAGCCTACAATTGTAGTGTAAAGTACAAAGTTGCCGTTGTCTTTTAGTCGGTTGGGAGTGTAATGCGAATACTATAATCTACATGTTTGTAGTTTCTTCGGCACAGCCAATGATTTTGCGAGAGAGGGCACGAAACAGTGGTAGAACGACAACGGAAGAGAATAAAGACATGGTACTTGATACTTCGCAGAATACATTCCAGGCGCTTTGCTACAGCCCAGTCCTTGACTTTTGGAATCCAGATGTCAGGTTCTGAACTTTCCCCAATCCGTCTTCGAACGTCGAATGGTAGCCCGGTAGGTAACATCCATGCTGCAGGGATGGTAAGAGAAGAAAACATGCTGTTGTCTTCGATTTTGCACGCTGACGTTCGTTGTTTCCATTCCGGGGACAACGCGTCGCTAACGCGAAAGGACGCGCTGAAAACGCCTTTGAACGCGGTGGTAAAAGAGGTTTCATGTTTGTTCTGGCGGGGTCCCCGGCTGCAGTGTTGCCCCCCCCCCTCCCGGGCCCCTCTCCCCCCTGCAGATTACGGCCCCGCTTGTAACTTCTAGCGATGTTGAGTGAACCTCATTCGTCTTCTCCCTGGGGCAGTAAACACCATGACGGGTTGACCTGCAAGTCTTCTACGAGAAGTGCGCTATAACATACCCTGCTCCCTGCTCCCACAAGAACCGGAATCACAGCAGTAGGTAAACAAAAAGTGGCATATCTGCAGTGCCGGTGCAGGAGGCAGGGCCAAATGTAACGAGGCGGGACTGAACCAACGAGCGAAGGGATGAGGGCCTGCGTCAAGGTAGTCCACTATGTAGCCGTCAGCGTTGGGCCTGGGGTATGAAAACAACAAAGACAACAACAACGTTGAACAACAAGAAAAACTCACTGCATTCTCTTCAGTAAGCAGGGGAAGGGGAGTAGGCAGAAATAAGTTGATGCAAACGAACGACAAGCGGCACCCCACATGTCAAGATGGAAAGATGGCAGCGCGGGAAGTGAAAGTAGATAACTACCTAACATCTGTATTACCTACCACCTACATACCACGTTACCCAGTTGTGGTCCAGTTTACTCATGTTATGTAGTACGAGTCCTTTGGCCCCATGTGATGTTGGCTTTGATGCAGCATTCTTGACTTCTAGCCGGGGTCCAGCCAGTCAAGTCCTTGGGGAAAGGGACGGAAGACTGCTGGGTCAGGGCACATAAAAATGTAAATTTCACTTGTTCGTATTGGTAACGTAATGAAGGTCGATGTTTGGACCCGCTTCCCGCAACATCGAAGAGAATGGTGGACAAGAGTTTCGCGATTCCTTGGACTGGATTTGACTATGGGCCGGCGCTGACCGGGACAAGTACACTAGGTAGAGCAGCCCGATGAGAGGCAATGGCGGGTCCAATGTTTTGATGGCCTGTGCGCGACAGGGCCGTTGCAGTGCCCGCTTGACCCAATGCGGCTAGTCAGCGGCCTGGCGCGAATGGCTCAGTCTGGCTGCCGCGACTCCGTCAGTCCGTCAGTTGAGTGGTGAGGGAGTGTCAATCAACGCCCGCTCCCACCCACCCACCCACCCACCCGTCCACCTGCCGTCCACCCCCTGGGGCCTACCTTTTCCAGAGATTACCTCGACTTTACAACCACCACCAGGCGACACCAGGTTCCAACATTCAACCTCTGATCCCGATACCTTGCCTCCGGTCCAATCCATCGCCCGCCGACTCCGCCCACAACTTCAATGCTATCGCCGTTTCAACATTGACAAGCCGGTTCCGACGCGCAACCCTGCTGCACCACCTATGATCGCCGAAATCAATACTGCGGACGAAAGAAGGCCACCCCCCGGAATTACCACTCGTTGACGTCCACCGTATTGAAACAAACATCGATAGCTTCCGTCTTGCGCTGCGCATGTGGGCATAGTCACATTCTCTCTTCACGGCGACAACACCCGCGATCACGGCGAACAACTTTTAATCTTGCGACGACCGGCGCCGCAGCCCGCCTAAAGCAACTGTAGTCCCTGTCAGAGTACAGGAAGTAGTCTTTCATTGCAGCGCATTGTCGATCCGTTCACCACCGCCGCTTTTTGCCATACCTGTCTGCCTTCCCACCGGCTTCTCACCCCATCAGACTTGGGACGACATCAACAAGTGCGCCAAGGACGAACGATCAGATAAAACCGACACGTGCTGCATCTACCCTATCACGACCTCGTCGCCGCCGCCGACTCGGGCATTTCCCTCTCTCTAAGCAAACGAAGCCAACCTAAGTCTGCCGTCGCACGGTTTCGAGAGACCATCCTCACCCGGTCTACTACTCACCTACTCCTCAACGTCAAATCAGCAACACAGGTTCCAACAGGTTTACCACAGTATTGAATCCCGAAATTAAACATGGTGACCACCGGCGACGTCTCCGGGCGCGCCGCACATTCGGCCGGTACCAAAAGGTCTAGTCATGAAACCCGCAGCCAGGCAGTCCACCCATCAACAACGAGGGTAACGAGATCATCGAGGCTGCAAACACCGCCTCCCCCGTCATCAGGAAACTCGCGCGAGGAACCACCGACGGAGATTGCCAGGAACCCACGGGCACCACCCAGAACTGAGAACCATGTGAACAGCTTGGACGTTGAAGCAGTTGATAGCGCTTTGCGCCGGGAGATTCAGCAACGCCAAACTTCACCAGGGCCAAGTTCGCATAGGAAGCGACAACGCATCAATGGAGATAGGTATGTCCTGCTGGAGGTGGTATGTTTGTTGACATTAGGATTGTATCTCTGACATCTAATCAGGTTTATTCCCACCCGGTCCGGTCAGGATTTGCAAGCCAGTTTTAGTCTTTTGCATGAAGAGGGCTCTCCGGCGACGCCTAGACAGAAAAGGCGCACACCACAGGGGGAGCTTCATTTTCAGAAAAGTAGGTATGGTCCAGTCTTATCCTGGAGTGCCTTTCTGACAATCTCGCAGCCGAGGAAGCAAACCGTACGTTCTCAACTGTGCTTCGATCAGAATTGTTTGAGAGTACTGTCCCACAGATTGCCCCCGAGTCTTTATCACCAGACCATAGGAGAGCATCGCGGGGTTATCTACATGAGGGCACAAGGTCTCAGACGCCTCCTCGGAATGGGCTCCAAGCCGCGGCAGCACCGACAACCCTTACCCCCTCTACACCTCACAAGAACCTGTTCTCGTACCTATCACCACGACATGCTAGCCTTGGCGGCCATCCAACGCCATCAAGGACGCCACAAAGTCGACATGGCATCAACCTGGACACCCGGGCAGAAATCTACAGTCTCTCACCTATAAAACATAAAAGCCAACAACTTTTACTGAGCCCGCGAAAGCAGCCGCGCGCCATCAGCAAGGTACCATTTAAGGTGTTGGACGCCCCTGAGCTGCTAGACGACTACTACTTGAATCTAGTCGACTGGGGGAGCGCCAACGTCCTGGGCGTTGGTTTAGGATCCAGCGTCTACATGTGGAATGCGCAAACAAGTAGAGTTAACAAGCTGTGCACGTTGGAGGACGACACAGTGGCCAGCGTATCTTGGATACAAAAGGGGACACACCTTGCTATTGGTACCCATAAAGGACTGGTGCAGATCTGGGATGCTGAGAAAGCAAGAAGGCTAAGAACGATGACTGGCCATACTGGCAGGGTTGGAGCATTGGCATGGAACACTCACATTCTCACGTCAGGGTCCCGGGATCGCCTAATATACCATCGTGACGTCCGAGCGCCAGATCAGTGGCTAAAAAAGCTGGTTGGTCACAAGCAGGAAGTGTGTGGTCTCAAATGGAATTGCGACGATGGCCAACTTGCCAGTGGAGGAAACGACAATAAGTTGATGGTTTGGGATAAGCTTTCCGACACACCTCTATGGAAGTATTCCGGTCACACAGCAGCCGTCAAAGCGATAGCCTGGTCACCACATCAACGCGGTCTCCTGGCTTCCGGAGGCGGTACTGCTGACAGACGCATCATCTTTCATGACACCGTTCGCGGCACGGTACTCAACGAGGTGGACACGGGCAGTCAGGTCTGTAATATTGCCTGGTCCAAGAACTCCAACGAAATCGTCTCGACGCATGGTTATAGCCAGAATCAGATAGTAGTTTGGAAGTACCCTTCCATGACGCAAGTCGCCAGCCTGACCGGTCACACTTATCGGGTGCTGTACCTTGCCATGAGCCCGGACGGCAAAACCGTGGTGACGGGTGCCGGAGATGAGACCTTGCGGTTCTGGAATCTCTTCGGCAAGAGCCCGAGGAAAAGTGTCCACGACCTTGATGGAGGTGGCAGTGGACGCTCGGGTGACTGGGGAGTCATTCGATGATGACGTGAAGGATAAGGAACCCGCAATGGGCGGGAAGGCACTTGGCCCATGGACTGAAAGAAGGCGACTGAAGATCGAGTCCGCCAGCAGAGAACAGCCGTCGAGAAAGATTGCCATGATCATACAGCGTGTATCACTCAGCTGTTTGAGCTTGATGCTCCGGCATTTTACCCTGTTCAACTTTGATGGCATCGATCTCGTAAAAGGCATCGGACCTTCTCTTGTCCTGACTATGATGTGTGCGCAATTTATACAACACGCCACTTTCTCACATTGCTCTCACCACCTAGAGCTTAACATACACTTTTGTTTTTTTTTTAATCTTCTATTTGCTCTTAAGATCTAGGGGCTCAACCCACCAGCGACTACTCTTATGTATTTTCTCTTCTTTTTCTTTCATTCTCTGATCATGTGGTATCTGAGATTAAAGCGCGTCGATTTGCTTGCCGGACCAAACAGGCGTTTGTGGTGGGTCGGAAAGACTGGAAAGGCGGGCGGGCGGGCGTGTTTAAATTGGCTAGCATGCATTGGCACGACATGGCATGGACGGATGGGATTTGAATTGTGGCTTTTTGTCGCATCGCCAATCAATCAATCTGCTTGGCTTTTGTTTTGCTTTGTTTTCGTCACTTCAAGGCTACAGCGAGGAGTAGGCGGATATGGGATATGGTGGATCTGTTGGAAGGGTTCCCAAGGCGGTTGGTCTATTGATGGGCGGGCAGACAGTCAGACGCTAACACAGTGGGGTTTAAAGAATAAGGTCCTGAGATGGACTAGACCTCTTCAAAGTTGGGATGAAAGAAAATAGGGAAAGGGAACGCTTGCATTGCATTTTGTACATAGCGAATACCACTATACCACTTTTTGACTTGGTTATAAACCGATTATTTACGACCATCTGTCACTACTTCGTTTCATCCTTGACTTGTCTCTTTCATTGTTTACGACATAAAAGACATCTCGCCACAGAACATGGTATACAGCTTAAAGGGGGATCGCTGACGGAGGACCGATGGACAAGAGTCCCACTGTGTCTCCATCACTCTCGTCACCCAAACCCTTCGAGCTTCGAGGATGGTGATGGACATGAAATATCTATGGAGCGTCGAAAATCTGTAATGCGGTGAATAAATACTTCTTGGCTATACAGAGACGAAGTGACACCTGTTTCGAATGCCTAAACACACATGTTCACTTCACAGTTGTATCACTCAAAGTCTTATTAGTTTATTTAGCAATCTTCCAACGTTCAACTGCCACTGCCAACAGTCACATTTGGGATAGCCGCCTTCACAGTATTTCCACCCCCCCTTGTATCGTTTTTCCCTCCTCGCTTCTCCCGCTGACAACAGCTCCTTCCTCTGTCATCACAATCTCTCTACTAACTACTTTCCGCTTCCTCTTCGCTTAACACCCTAGACTGACGTCGTTCCAAACCAACGAACCCTGTAAAGGCCCTCGCGTTGAAGTAAACATAGTAAAGATACCTTGATTCTTCAAATGCTACTTCAGCGAGTCATCTACCCTCCTACCATTATTTACATTCATCTCTGTCACACTTGTCATTTCCGAGAAAAAAACCTCATGTGATAAATAATACAGAGTTTATTCCAGACCGCTTCTCGAATCTCGAAGAGGGAGAGAGAATAAGACAACGTGATACTTGCGACGCTTACCAACGCAGAAATCACACACCATAATAGCAGATAGAAACTAAAACCGAACAACAAAAAGAAACCAACCTAAGAAGGGAGGAGAACAGGTGGTGGTACTTCAGTTGATCAGGGAAGGCTTCAAAAAGACAAAAAAAAAAAAAGAAGTCCCAAAAAAGAAGTCCAAAAAAACATACAACACCAGGGATTCGCTGGTCGTCACCGACCCAACTACTAGTCTGGCGATTGGTAGCTTATCTATGGGAGAGCGGACGGGATCCCGAGTTTTCTACCATCTATGGTCGTATGTGATGTTTTGTAGCCAGATAGACAACTATATGCCCTCTTGTCCATCTGTTCGGTTCGTGATCATCTCTCTATCTCTGTGTGAGTGTGTGTGGAAATAGTCTTGATGCGTGTATAGTGGCACCGATGTGTGCTTACTTGTGAATGAGTAATTTTTTTCTCTTTTCTTCTTCTTCTTCTTTTTTTTTTTCCCTTTCCCAAGAAACACACAGAACCGATGCCGTGGTAGGCACTCGCTTGGATCATCGCAAAGATAGCCTCGTGTCCGCTCAGCCAACTAGCTAGTTTCGTCCACATCATGCCTCCATACCTTTATGAGGAAGGGCACGAGGTTTTACGCTGTACCAGTACTATTGTATACATATAATCTCCATTGTCTCCAAATGCTAAATCGCATGATGTATCTTAGGCGTCTAAAAGCGTGGGTATTCCAACAAACAAGCCCACATGCCCCTTATGAGAAGTCCAATCTCATAGGAAAACGCCCTTCCAAAATCCATCCACTCTTGTCATCCTTGTGATCGCCATAAACGCCAGATTCCAACTGTGTAAACCCTCAAAACAACCAATCAGACTAGCCCTGCAGAACCAAACCGCATACCAGAAAGCCTTGAAAAATGAATTATGGCAGCTATGCCAGAAAAACTTTGAGTATCATGGCAGCAAGGGCGATGGATAGAACTACAATTAATCGGTCGATCCAGAACGTCACCTCGTCGTTACTCACCCTAACCTGCCGTGGGTGACGATGCTGCATCATAGGCTGGGGGTGGGGATTAAACTGTGAAGGCAGAGGGATCGTCCTCGTCGGCTGTGGCACACCCTGCCCTGGTTGCGCTGGAGTCGAGGAAGATGAAGTAATCCCTACCGACCTAGGCTGTGGCGTAGGTGGTAAAGGCACCGTTTGTACGAAACCTTCGGCCAGCTCTGCACTTTCAGTATCCTCCTCGTCTTGTTGCGCCCCAGATCTCGACGCCGCTGCCGCACCGCTACTGTTTTTGTCCATCTCGTCCCGCCACCCCATCTTCAAGTCGCTCGGCACCTCTACCTCGGCCTGACCTTCCCCTTGGTGTTCCTTGGCTGCCTCCTCACACTCCCAGATAATCTCCTCGTTTGTCTTCCCGCAGGCCTGACACTTCCATGCCCTCGACTCGGTCGCCATCCGCCTGCGCACGGCTTCCGTCGCGTCAAGACCGCCCAGCTGCCCCTTGGGGTCTGTCTCCATGAAGGAGCGCAGTGCGACCAGGGCGGTGCGTACTCCCCAGGCGGGCTGCCATGTCTCTTCGTGGTGGCCGCTGATGGAAAGACAAATCTCGCGGTTGGCTTCGAAGCGCCCGGAAGGTGTGACGAAGCGGAAGGATGGAGGTCGTAGCGGGTAGGCTTGTGGGAGAACGATGCGGCCGTGGTAGATGCCGTCGGCGTAAACCGAATTAGGAGGCCCGCGGAGGGTGAAGTGCCACTCGAAGAGGTCTGATTCGAGCGGAGTGGCTGTGTAATCGGGGGAGGGTGAAGCGGAGAGTTCTTGGGCTTCGCGGACTATAATGGGTTGAGCAAGTATCAGTCCTGGTGTCTAGCAGCGAAGAAGAAAGATGACGTTGATGATGATGACGATGATAATGAAAGAACTTACGGATGCGACGGATGGTGGGCGACTTGGAGTTGAACTTTGGTGTTGCCATATTGCTGGTGCTTTCGCTATTTCTTTGGTGCTTAATGATGTTCCTAAGTGACGAGATGGTCAAGTCCGGTATTTGGGTCGCCCGGAAGTTGTGCAACTGCTTCCGGCAGCGGGCAGTTCCTGGTGGTAGAAGTATCCGTGGCCAGGCGTCAAAAGGTTATCTCTGCGACTCGAGATCAGGACTGCTTTCTTGAGGATGGATTCAGCAAAACTATAATGAAGATGTCACACAAGATGCACAAGAATAGACAATACGTATTCAAAGCATTGGTGATGGAAGTTAGGTATGTGAACCTCATGTAGGCGTTAAAGAGTTGTTGTTGCGGTTTGCGACCGCGGTCACTGTAGCCAGAAAGTGGTGAAGAGCGCTGTTGCTTGGTTGGGCGGCACAGCTGTATGTGTCTATGACAGGACACCTTGCAATTACCTACCTTCGTACCTCCGCCAACGGTCAGCCTCAGCTCCAAGTTCCCCCGCATTCAGGAGCCGCCTTCCGTGATGTCCACCAGGGCCAGCTTCCTTAGACTCCGATTGGTGTTGATCGTACCATCACCTCGAGCTCTTTCCAACGTGTTCTGGATAATTATAGGAAGCAGCAGGTTTGGCCCTTCAACATAGACCATCAAACTGAAGAGAAGAAGTTCAGGAAATCGAGACGGACCTGGACTGAACTGCACCGGGCCGCTGCCGGGACCGTCATCCGGACCGCCTACTGCGCAGTACTAGCGAGCTCTCGGGCGGGGTTTCAGTGGAGCGCCGGGTAAGGGGGTACGTACCGGACGACATCATCAGCGACGCACGGAGTGTCCGTCTGCAGGCGTTTCGGCAACGGTTCGTGGAACGTACTCCTGAATATGTCTCTTCATGATCACACAACCCTTTCAAGTGTCACCGCAACATCCAGCAATGGCCTTGGCCAGCAATCTAAGCTTTGATCAGGCACTGGATCACCAAGATCATGAGACTTTGCATCATTGCCCGCGAGTCAAAAACTAGAGGAAACTCGACGCCTGCTCAGCCTGTCACTTTGATGGAAGACCCACCGCTTAATTTACAGTGGATCGCTGCAACTGCCAACTTACCCCGTTCACCCCTGACAATGGAAGTTGGACATCCAAACTCATTTCATCCGGTCGCATGATTGGCCTAGGAGCAGACAGAGTCAAAGGGCAGTTGAACAGTTGCAAACATGAAGCCCCCGAAAGCTGATACATTTGTACTTTGTAGTTGGTGAGCTGGATGCCGATCCTACCTCTACAACATGATACGTCAACGTCGTTGTCTTCATTTTTTTTTTTTGTTGAAACGTGATGATAGCCGCAGTTCGCCAACGTTCGGCACCTCGACATGAAAATGCAACAGCATCCCAACGGGCATGCATGTCACAAGGGTTCTTTTGCTTCGACTTCGAGAACCAATAGTAGCTCTTGTTCTGATTGGATGTGAGGGTTGAGGCTGATTGCGGTTGGAAGCGCCCCCCCTGCATGGCTGTTTGCCATTCCGCGAGTCCCTTGGGCCACCGATGTTTGGACTTTCGACGACATCCACCCACATCCGCCAACTTTACTTTGATCATTCCTTTTTCCGAAGCAGCCTCTTGAGCTCCCCCGTCTCCCACGTTTCCCCCCTCCATTCTGTCCACGCCACCAGAGCCTGGACACTGCAGATTCGCATCTCGATATCCCCAGACGATGGACTGGCGATAGCCTCGATTCGCGATCACGGACTCTGTTCTAGATCCCCGACCCTCGAAACGAGCTTACCTTAACGCACGACTCGACCACGGTTCATCCGGCAGTCATTCTATCCAATAGCCCGACTTTTCGGGTCCATCGTTTACTTCACAACTCAAGATCGCGACTGCCTTCTACAGAGACATGATCCTTGATGGACGCAACGCCACACACAACGTCTTCCACCTCGACCGCCCTCGATTCCCCTTCTTCCTTATCCGCTACCATGGCGCGCCGCTGGGCCAGAAAACTCGAGCGCTACTGCTGCACATGCGTCACCTACTTTCCCCTCGCCTTCGTTTACACTATGACAAGCTGGGCCGTCTATGTCGATGTCTCGCTTAGTACGACCCCATCTCGCGTCACTTGGCTAGGTAGGTTGACCCTCTCCCCGGTTGTCAACATCGTTGTTGCGCCTGCTAACCTTATGCTTCGCTTCCCCCACAGGTCACTCCTATGGCTTCATCGCCGTCGTTCTCTACCTCCTCGCCAACTGGTGCTACACATACGCTGTCTTCACTTCGCCCGGGAGCACCACCAACGAGTATGGCTACAGTACCCTCCCTACACAAGCGCCCCCTACTGCCACCTCCTTCACCGTCAAGTCCAACGGCGAATTCCGATTTTGCAAAAAGTGCCAGGCACGAAAGCCCGACCGCGCTCACCACTGCTCGACATGCCGACGCTGCGTTCTGAAAATGGACCACCACTGTCCGTGGCTTGCAACATGTGTTGGCCTGCGCAATCACAAGGCCTTTTTGCTGTTCCTCATCTATACATCACTTTTTTGCTGGGTCAGCTTTGCCGGTTCGGCATCGTGGGTGTGGGAGGAGATTATGAGCAATACCACCTACGTCGAAACCCTCATGCCAGTCAACTACATTATGCTTTCCGTCATCTCTGGAATTATCGGTATCGTCCTGTCCGCTTTTTGCGGATGGCATATATACCTGGCTTCCCGTGGACAGACCACCATTGAATGTTTAGAGAAAACGCGCTATCTGTCTCCGCTGCGCGAATCGATGCAAAGGACCTACGTCAACCAACATACGCCCGGCCAAGGTATTGCGCTGCCTAAATATGGTCAGCAACTACTGGACATCCACCAAAACACCATTCCAGGAGTCACACGACCAGAGGAAGGTGAAGAGATGCGACGGATGACGACTCCTTCGGGCTCATCCCAACGCAACGATCTTGCCGCCCAGCACAATCCTGAACTCCAGGCAGGCTCCCGCCGCTTTACATACGACGAAATGGAACATATACGCGCCCGTAAACGCTACGAAGACTACTTGGATGAGCAGGACTCGACCAAGCTGCCCCACGCTTTCGATCTCGGGACACCGCGCAACCTGCTGCATCTCTTTGGTACCAACGCCTGGCTATGGCCCTTCCCGGTATGCACCACCATCGGCGACGGTTGGAGCTGGGAGCCGAACCCGAAGTGGATCGAGGCACGCGATCGTATCGCTCGGGAGCGCGAAGAGCAACGGCAGCGGGAGCGACAAGCCGGATGGGGCCCAGCCGACGACGACGATATTACGCCTGTATATACACCTACATGGACGCCGCCCAACCAACAACAACAACCACAAGGTGGTGCGGGTCGTCACTACCTGCAGCCCTCCTCTCAGCCACAAACACAGCGCAACAGTAACTCCAGTAGCCCGTCATTCACCCCTTCACGACGCACACCCAGCAAAGCCGACCGAATCCTGGGCCGCGATCCCAACATGTACGCCGATGATGAACCAGTAATATATGGCAAACACGACGTAGCCATGAGCAGACTGAGTCCCGCAGGCCGTACTCTAGTAGTAGAAGACGACGTTGATGATGATGACGATGACGACGAGGACTACTTCCAAGATGCTGACCGCAAACAGGAGGATGCGGAGCAAAGTGCCCTGAATGTGGTAACAAACGGGCGATGGGGTCGCCCTGCCGGCGCAAGCGGAGTGGGATTGCTTGCGCATGGACGGCCTGGGGGAGCGAGGAGTCCCATTAGTCCTATAAGTCCTCCTGCTGGGGGATTTGGTGGGAGCGCGAGGAATGGGGAGGGAAGGTCGAATGATGATGGCGTGGATTGATGGAGAAGTGCCTGTGATCCCTGTTTCTTCTCTTCTTTTCTTCTTTTCACGTCCATCTCTTAATATCATCACACTACTTAGTTTTCCCGATATGGCTTTAGCGAAACGTACCATACTATAGCGCAAAGTACTTCTTGGACAAACATCAACAATATATATATGAAGTTTCAAAGCCTTTTAGGCGTGGGCGAAAGGAGCAGGATCAGGTCGGTTCACGCGGCGTTGTGGTGTTTAGAGCTAGGCTTTTAGGTTAGGTACCATGTATGTCGAGCAAGCCAAACATTTACATGGGCTTGGTATTAATATCAAGATGGGCGAATATCCTGAGCCTGAGACTCTACCATACCAAGAGTCGCTCGCTATGAGTGAAGCTCTTGTCCGTGTATTTGTTTACATGCCCCTGAGCACCGGATCTTGAAACCAAAATTCGGCACACCAGTGCGCCTGGGTTCATTGCTACCTAAGCAAACCACAAAAACCTGTAGCTATAGCCAAAACAGGGTTGAATAAAAATAACGGCCATGAAAAGAAATTAGAGTAACAACAGAAAGTCATGGTTGCGAGGCCAAACAACCAACCAAAGGTTGTGGTCACCACCGCCGCAAACCAATTTGAAAGAACTCCCAGTATGCTTGCATATCTTACAGAAGGTGGTAGTAGTTGCCTTGCGAGCTCATGTGATGCTCCAATGCACCAATATATATAAAAATAAACATAAAAGTGAGAACCTGCCCGCCCACCTGTGCCTCGTAAAGTGTTAACTTTGATCTTTCCGGTTCCCTTGGTGTATTCGTGATAAACCCCCATGCCATGCTTTCCGTTGCCTTTTTTCCTCTCTCCCCCATGTAATACCTTTTTTCTTTGCTCGTGGCAAAGTGCGATGCATCCTTGATATGCTCCGAAGAAATTAACATGAGTTCCTCCCATCCAGGATATATGTCTGTCCCATGGATTCTCCCAGCCTCCTCGCCACCGCCGGACAAAGGAAATTGATTCAGCGGCGCGAAGAGGTGCAAAATAGAAAACGATATCACTTTTCTCTTTCCCTGCTTTCTTTAAGCTAGCCCAGCCTTCTGATCCCTTTCTCTAAAGTTTGCCTCGCGCGATAAAGACCTCAAAAGCAGCCCTCTCGGTGTTGACGTTGCCGTAATCCAAACAGAAACCCGCTGCCAAAC